AATTGGCAATAGTGAGTAAACTTTTCCTGGGTTCTGGGAACAAATTTTCAAACCCAGGGAAGGGGTCTTGGGAGCCTCTAATTTGTAGCCAAGTCGGACAGAAATCATGGGTAACCTGGGGACCCACTACTTGCAATTGGCGTCTGAAGCAGGGGGCAGTCTTGGGGGACTGTGCCCTTACCCTCTGGGTTCTGCTCTACCTCCAGGCAGTTAGTGTCAGAATTGCTTGGTGTGGAAGATCCACATATCTGGTTACAGAAGTGGTGTAAGTGTTAAAGTGAAGGAAAGCAATGAGTTTTTCCCAGGCACATATAAATATCCACGTTTGAGGGGGAATTTAGTTACTACTGAGTACTTGTGTGGTACGACTGGTAAAGTTTTCCCCAAAAAATGTTTAGAGATTCTTTAATACAGTGGTCAGGATTTAATTTTTAAGTAAGGATTTTAGACACAACCAGCATCATAAATTAGTACCGGCATCTTATAAAAAGAGAGGCCATTATAATATCAAATAATCTGGAAGGACATAATGTCAGTACTAAAAACTTGAATAAATTTAGCTTTCTGGAAAGCTGACTACTCTGTTCATTTTTTTCTCACCTACCAAGGACCAGTGAAAATTTCATGAACCAACCAGCACCGCCTTTGGGAGCCCCTGCTCTTGGGACCCCCATGAAGCACTTATGAATTGTATTGAGCTATAAAAGAACCCTAAAAAGCAATAGCTTAAACAAATGAGCAGTTTTACCTTTCTCGTGGAAATAGAAGTTTAGAGATAGCCCCGCCCAGGTTAATACAGCTGCTCCATGATACCATTAAGGATTCTGACTTTTTTTATTTTTCTTCCACTCAGCTGTCCTTAGCATGAATTTGCCATCATCTGATCCCAAGATGTGTGCTGTTTTCCAGCAAAGTGTAGGCAATGAAGAGTTGGCTCCAAGCCAGAACACTATGTGTGATCTTTCAGGCCTGATCGTAGGCAGTTAGCGGCTATGTACCTCAAGGTCTTTACCTCCTGACAGGCCTCCTGGGAGCACTGCCCACGAACACCAGCCTAGGTGCACAGCCTGAGCACTGTGCCCTCTGGAGGGCAGGGGTTGTGGTCAGGGGCTTTGGACCCACCTTATCATCACCCCAGCTTTGTTCTTAGGCAAGTCTACATTTCTAGTCCAGCTTCCTTCTTTTGGAGGCCTCCTAATGGAGCTAAGGGGTGAGGGCCTAGCCATGGCTGTCTCAGGTGGCTTTTTTGAGACCAACCTACTGGGGGTCCTTGAAGATGTCTTTTCCACTCTGACCCAGTATTTGGTACTCTTCCACCCATAGCCCCTCCCCCCTTCCTCCTCCTAGCCTCCTGAGCTATAAAATGGCAGGAGATTTTTGTTTAGGGATCCTTTGGCAGTAAGGCTGTGCCTACATCTGCACCAGCGCACGTGACCCTTGCCTGGCACTGTGCCAAGGGGAAAAATGGAACATTAGGGGGGACAGTGCTTTCTCCTATTTAGTATCTTGCTTATAACATCACAGTAACTGATTAAAGACTTGACTGTAATTTTTCACGGTCACTACTGAGACACCTGGCAGCTCAGGTCTCTCCAGCTCAGTTCCACTTTTGACAGGCAGGAAGAAGAGAAAGGGCAAAAGGGGTTGACCAGTTGAATTGACCTGGCTTTTAATGTGCTTTCTTCCAAACCCCATCTAATGTCTTATGCTTCTATCTTATTGGTCAGAACTATACCACATGGTCATCCCTAGCTGCAAGGGAGGCTGGGAAATGCTCTTTAGCTGGGCACACTGCCACCCTGAATGAAACCAGAATGGGTTTTAGATAGATAACTATTACATCTTGGAATGCCTGCTTTTAGAAAAGTTAATGGATGGTGGTTTTTCCGTTGTCGGTTTGATTTCACTGGTTGGCATATAAAGATTTAAGGGGCACCTGGGTGGCTCGATCATTTAAGCATCTGATTCTTGCTCTCAGCTCAGGTCTTGATCTTATGGTCAGGAGTTCAAGCCCCTCCTGGGCTACACAGTGGGCATGGAGCCTACTTAAAAAAGAAAAAAAAAAAAAAGATTTAAGAGAAAAGAGTTCTGGAAAGATGGCAGTGGCATTTTTGAATCTCCCCAAATTCCTCCATAGAAATAGAGCATCTGGGATAGCAAAACCAAAAACACATGGACAACATCTACATCAAACTTGGGTGACAAGATATTACCACAAACCCCAAAATTCAAGCAGGTGGAAACCACTAGCCACTCAAAGACTTGCATGGTATCAGCACTTTTGTGGAAAGAAGCAAAGGAAGCAGCTGGGTGTCTGAGAAATCTAAAAAGAAGAGAACCCCAAAATAGCCAAGAGGTACTCCCTAGAAAGTACAGTGGACCAATAGGAGAAAAGCAGCTGGATTTGGGGGCAGTTTTGTACAACCCCGTTTGCAGCTGATGAGTGCAAGGGGTCCGAAGTAAGGTCTGAAGAAGTTGGACTCTGAAAACCAGCCAGAGTATCTTTCCAGGACACCAGAGTAGAAACCGCAGGGAATAGAATACAGATAGAGTAGGCCAGGGATATTTGGGGCAAAGAAAAGGGAAGTCAGATGAAAGTGGGGGAAGGGCACAGAGCCAGGAGATCTCAGAAAGCTTGAAGCCATATTTTTGAACACTTCATGAAAACAGAAAAAGAAGCTGTAGAGTCTCGAATTTAGCAAAGCTGTCCTAACTCATCCCTCCTTCCTAAATGTGCAGGAAAACTAATTTCATATAAAAATGAGCAGCAGAAAGGACTGCAATCAAACCTCATAATGAAGTTATTATAAGAAAAATGAAAACACGGAGAATAATCTCCCTAATGATATGAAAACATTCCAGAAAGACATGCCCATGAAACCAGCTGAAAACTATAACTTAAGATTTCAAAATAAACTAAAGTAAATTAAGGAAATAATACAAGCTCCTGCTCAACAGCAATGGTGTAGTTCTAATTGCAGTACTGGCGCTCCCCCCCTCCCCCCCACCCCATCAGCCCCACATCATGTGTGTGCTTGGGGGCTCTAATGTAGAGGGAGTAGCACCTTCATGATATTTGGATAGTAACTCCCTTCTCCCTTTTGCTACTAGAACCCTATTCTTTCTCCCCTATGGCCTTTCAGCCCTTTGAATACTTTCGTTATCAATTCCCTGTGTTCAATTCCTCTTTGAATTAGATAACAAAGTTTGTTGTCCTGAATAGACACTTTCTGATGCAGTTGCTTCCATTCATTCAACAAACGTTTATTGAGTACCTCCTAATGTTATAGCATTTTGGAAACAATGATAAACAAGATAGACAAAGTCTCTGCCCATGGGAAACTTATGTGCTAGTTAGGATTCAGGCAATAAATAAGTAGTTACACACGATGATTTCAGAATGTGATAAGTGCTCTAAAAATAAATGTGGCACAAACAATAATTGTCTCTGTTGTGTAAATGAAGTCAGGAGGTATGGGCAGGTAGGCTAGGATTGGTATAGTTGCTCCTAGTAATCAAGTTTACTTTGAGCGCAGTACTTGATTTTGCCTGGAGTGTGACACATCCAAATTCTATGCAGCTGGATGAAGGAAGGGATTAAGAAGGGGCAAAGAACGTGGCTAGCTCTCTTTTTAAGGGGAGTTTCTGGGACGCTACCATGCAATAGTTTGATTACATTTTATTGGCCTGAACTCATCAGTCACCTAGCTCCACCTAGCGTCAAGGGAGACTAGGAAATGTATCACATGCCCAGTTAAAAATTGGGGAATTCTATTTCTAAGAAGTAGGGGAGAATAGATATGCAACTAAACAAAGTAAACTGACTGCAAGTAACCCGGGGTGTGTTTAAGGACACTCATTTAGAATTATTCTTTTTTGTTTGTTTGTTTTGTTTGAATTTTATTATTTTATTATTTTTTTAATGGAGAAGTGATACGGTTACATTCTCATTACCTCTTACCCATATTTCAGTAACTTCCTAGTTCCAGCCTTCCAAGCTACGTCCATAGAATGATTCTTTATCATCTTTCTCCACCACCAGATAGAAGGTTTCTTCTTGGCAGAGACTTGATCTACCTTTGTATTCCCAGTTGTTCTGCAGGGCTTCAGGCATGATTGATATTAACATGTTTTTGGAAATGGATATAATCTTAAAGCAAATCAGGAAACCATTATTAGCAAACATTACAAAGCTCTACGTGTGATCTCAATTTCTTTCACTAGACTGAGTTTCTCCAGAATCAGTAAATCACTGAATCTCTCTGTCTTTCCAGAGTACGGGGAATGTTGACTGTGGTATGTAATTGGGTATTAAAAGGCGTTAGCACTATGCCTCCAGGGATCTAACTGAGGGCTAATGCAATCAGAGAGGACTTCATTAAGTGGGACTTGGGTCGGTAAAAATCTTTTTCCTTACGGGCAGGAAATTAATGATAATCAGTATTTGTATAGCATTTATCATATCTTCGCAACATCACTGGATGCCATCTTTGTTTTTATCCTTATTTTCTAGATGAAGAAATGGAAGCTCAGAGAGGGTCAAGACATCCATTTAGCAAGGGGCAGAGCTGGAACTAGGAACCAGATCTTGGGAAACCAAATGCACCTTTATAAAGATTTTGTTCCATTTCGGTAAAATCAGTGAGTAACTCTGTGGAGACGGCCACGACAGTCTTTGACTTCACTTTCAAGCAGTCGATAAAGAAAATTGGGAGAAATAAGGACCAATCATTTTGCCCGAGCTAACTGTAAAATTCTATCAATGGACACTTAACTCTTATCGGCTTTATAAAAGACTACGATTCCCAGCATGCCACAAGGTACCTCTGGGACGACTTCCATTCCCAGCATGCTGTATTTTGGAACTCTGAGTCCCAGAATGCAACGCTCCCTTGCTCCCAGAGCGCCGTCGAGACTACAGTTCCCAGCATGCAGCGCCGCCCCCAGTTTCTGGCGTCCCGCTGGACCCCGCTTCGGAGAGAGCTTTTGGACTCCAGAGGGCGGGTCCTGAAATCCCAGTCTCCTTTGGGGAACGTGTCCGCGGGCGCGTTCTGGCGCGTTGGGCCTGTCCAGACGAAGCCTCGAAGGGATTGGTTGGGGCCTGCCCCGGGCTTCCCTCAGGCAGCGTTTGAGGCAGCCCCAACAGGGTCCTCCTGGGGCCTTTCTCCCTTTGAACTGTGGTGGCGGGCGGGCGCACTGCCTCCTGCACTCCTCAGAGCCGGGGCCGCCATCACCATGGCCACGGCTGCGAGTCGGCCTTGCGACGGCGGGTCGCGGGACATCTTGTGGCGCGTGAGTGCCGCGCGCAATCTGGTGCGCCCTCGGCCCGCGGCTGGAGTCGGGCCTGGCGGGCGCTCGCGGGCGCGCTGGGCGGGGGAGGGGCCGGCTCCTGTGTAGCGTGGGGAGCGCGTGGGGAGGGGGCGACCAGAGGGACTGATTGATTACAGGGACGTGGGGGGTGTCCCGAGTGGAATCTGATTGCGGGGCGGGCTAGGGAAAGCTGGTTACTAGGGTGTGCTAGCCGGACGTCCTGAGTGTAAACTTGTCATGGGGTGGGAGAAGAGTCCTGAGTGGAAGCTGGTTAGAATGACAGGGATGACCTGCATGGGAACTGGGGGAGGGATGGTCAAGAATTTTATGCAAGGGTGGTGTACCTGGTAGGTGCGAAATAAATAGCTTGTTGACTACTTGGGGTAAGAAGTGGGAAAGAATGTCTAGAATTGGAAAGAATGTGGTGTGGCCTTAGCAGAGGCTGTATCCCAAGCTAAAAATTTTGAGTCCTTAAGTCTTGCCTGTTCTTTACCACCGATATTATCAATTACTGATGTCCTGTAGATGTACTTCAGGAAATATGACTGCAGTTTTTTGTTTTTTGTTTTCTCCTTTTTTCTTTTCCCGTTGTCACTGCCTGCCTTCAGACACTGACTGTAAACTTTGGCTTTGGACAGTTGTAGTAGACTGCCCCCTAATTGTCTCTTGTGTGGGTCTTGCCTCCTCTGATCCATCTCCATCACAGGCACCTTACAAACCCAAGAGTATTTTACCTTCCAAAATGTAAATCCGATTAAAGTAAAGCACTTTCATGCTTCAGACCCCTCAGTATCTCTTCTTTACTCAATCAGCAGTGTATCTTGTGTCTCTAAGTGGTAGACACTGGTGATTCACACATGAATACAATGCAGTAATTGCCCAATAACTGCCATAGCTAATAATTGCGAACACAATTATAGTATACAGATGACCCCTATAAAATGTATACAGCTTTTAGATATTGACATATCAATCAATTAAACCTAAAGAGAAAAGTATAAGTTGCTGTAAAATACAGTTGTAAAACTAACACAATTCCTCTCCTTCCTTAAAGTGTGCTGTTTAATGTAGTATCTGACTCTGGACTAAAGGCAAGCATCAGTGAACTGATATCACAAGATTTGGTAGTTGTATGCAATGTTATTAATAGGAGTAACCATTGGGGTTTATATATAGCTGCACGGACTATGATCTGGGTGTAAATACTAGTGATTAACATCCCATATGAAAAGATAGGATTTGCATAACTGAAATAACTGAAATAGTTTGACTTCATGATTGAGGGATTTTGTTTGTTTTAATTATAGGTTTTGGGCTGGAGGATAGTTGCAAGTATTGTCTGGTCAGTGCTGCTTCTACCCATCTGTACCACAGTATTTATAATCTTCAGCAGCATTGATTTATTTCATCCTATTCAGTGGCTGTCTGGTAAGTAGTACTCAGTTTGGGGAAATCAAATTTACAGGACCTATTTCTCAACATAAAAGTTGTGTTATGTTTCAAGCCACCCAGGTGCCCCTCAAATAATTTGTTTTTAATCACTGCCTATATTGATTGGCATGGCAAAACATTCACCTTGAGGTAACCTTAAGGCATTCCCTTTATAGATCACTTTTTCACTGTATAATTATAAGATTAGTAAACCTGTCAGAGATCTGTATTATCACATGAACAAAAAGATTATTAGAAGACCACATAAATGAAAACTTGCCTTAATTTTTGTTTATGTGTTTGTCTTTTTTGACTGCTTTTTTGACATTTTCTTTTTAAGGACCAGAACTGTGTCCTTTATCTATTTAAAAATTTGGAATAGAAAATATGACATCTTTTTAGAAAACCTGTCTAAAATTAAAAGACTACTTCATTTCTGTACCGTGGCTAATAAGAACAACGTGAGAAGAGAGAAAAGGAGCAAGGAGTTAAAGACTAAGAAGCATAGACGTAAACACAAAGACTGATGAGGAGGAAAAGCTTGGAGCAGACTAAATGTTTCTCAAAAATCCATGGACATGAAAATAAAATTAACTAAATATATTAAACTATGAGCATGTTAATTAATAATAACCTCCAAATTATTGCCGTATACTGCATGCCACATACCATTCTAAGCATCTTAGTATATTGTTATCCTTCCTACAACACTATATAATAAAGAGGTATTATCCCTGCTTTATAAATGAGGAGGCTGACGCTCAGGTTATAGAAGTCTAGTCTGTGCGGAGACACACAGTCAGTGACTAACTGAACCAGGATTTGAACATTGGTCTCTGACTTCAAAGCCTGTTTTTCCACATACCACACTGGAATTAGAGAGAAGTGTTGCCAGAGTAGATTTTGAACTCTAAAGTCTTGCCTAAAGCTAAGAAGCACATATACTCTTGAAATTCTTTTTATTTCCCTTTCCACAACAATAATAACAAATTTCTTTTGCTTTGGGAGGTGGGAAGTGTGTTGTTAATTTAATTTTCAAGGAGTTAGCAGCTTAACCTTGTAGCCTTTGGAGATACTGCTGCTAAAGAATTACAGTCATGTTAAGTTTCTTATTGAGACATCTCAATCACTTCTTGCATGGAACCTACGGGGCAGATAAAATTAAGCCATAAGCCAGCATGGGGATGGCAGGTATTTCTGTAACCACCTTCTCTGAGTCTGGATCACTCATTGATCTTGGCGGTCTGGTCACAAGCTTGGAATATTCGGTACTGAAATCTAGAACCATTACCAATTGTTCAGATTTGGCACTTAAGAAAAAATTTTTTGCCATTTCATGGGCCAGGGTTTTTTAATCCTAATAATACTTTCTCTCCAGATGGGATTTGATTTATGCCATTTTTCTCATCAAATGTTACTCATCTTCAACTTTTGCTTCACAAAGTCTTTTTAGAGAAATTATACTCTTTCCTTACTTATTTCCAGTCACATGAATCAGTTCGTTCTTTCTCTGAGTTCAGTGTAATGTTGGGGTTTAATTGTGAATCCTTAATAAATACTCTTTATTAATTTTGGTCAATAAATTATACTCTTAAAAGTTATTGGTTTCATTATTAAGCTTTAGTCTCTTCAGCAAATGTATTTCCTTGCTGTTTTTATTTCTCTTATTTATGTTTTTAGGTATAAGTATATATGTTAAACTTAGCCAGATTTTTTTAAATGGAATATTGCTTGTTGAACTACTCTAAAATGTGAATATATTAGTGTTTTACAAGGATATCATGATTTTTTGTTTTTTTAATTCAGCATTTAAATGATTTATGGATTATGCTATTTTCAGAAATGTTACTTTTTTAGCTATAGGAGCTAATTGCATTTGTTAAGAAGAGATCTGAAAAATATTTACATTGTAAAAAGAAGCCTTGTCGGTGTATTACTAAATGTGGTACTTCTCTGTTTCACATGAGGAAAGACGTTTGCATATGGTAGTATTTTGTCTGATGTTAACATCTGGATCATCGAAAAGAAATTCTAGTATAATTTTAAAGGACCCAGAGCTTGGTCCAAATAACTCACACTGTAGTTCTTGAGTTGATGTCCTGTAGGACCTGTCAGCAGTGTATGAGTAAATTCTTGAAGAAAAGATAACTTTTAAAATGAAAGTTACAGTTGTGGTTCAAACCCTTTTTCTCTTGCAATATACTGATCATGACTACATGACTGAAGTTATTGATTCATCTCTCTTATGTTTTAGATTCTTTCAGTGATCTGTATAGTTCCTATGTAATCTTTTACCTCCTGCTGCTGTCAGTGGTAGAAGTAATAATAAGTATTTTTAATGTGGAGTTCTATGCAGGTGAGTTTTCAAATGTTAATCATCATAAAAATATTTGAATTTATATTCTTAATGGCAGGCTCAGTGCATTTTGTATGTGGGTGTGTGTAACAGGCTTGTTTTGTGTCAGCTTAAAATGTATACAGAATCATCTGCTTTGCATGTTTTAACTAAAAATTTATTTGAAGGTTAATTTTTCTCTGTTTAAAAAATATCTAGAGCTCTTAGGACAAATATTGTGTGATTTCACTTATATAGGAGGTTCCTAGAGTCGTCAAATTCATAAAGACAGAAAGTAGAATGGTGATGGCCATAGGCTGGGGGAGGAGGGGATGGGGAGCTGTTTGATGGGCACAGAGTTGCAGTTGAGGTGGTGGGAAAGTCTTGGGGTACATGGTGGTGATGGTTAGACAACAATGTGAGTGTACTTATGCCACAGATCTATATGCTTAAAGATGGTTAAAATGGGGAAAAAAAATGGTTAACATCGCAAACTTTACTTATGTGTGTTTTACCACAATAAAAAAAATTTAGACCTTTTAATAGTTCACAGCTGCTGTTAAAGCTGTGACTCAGCAGATGTATTATAAAAATAACTCCTTTATAGGGTAGGAGATCAGGACCAGATGATTTCTGAGGTCCTTTTCAAATATAAAAGTCTATAATTCTGTAGTTTAAAAAAAAACCAACTGTATGTTTTGCCTTGAGAGAATCACCTGCTGGATTCCAGAGCTTTTTCTTTTTCCCAGTTTCTCTTTTTACTTTTTGTGCCTTTTCTGAGTCCTGTGTCTATCCTTGTGGTACAGTCAGAAGCTTCTTCTGACACTTCTTTTTTGACTGTAACATCATTCCTCTTTTTATTTTTATTTTATTTTTTAAAGATTTTATTTATTTATTTGACAGAGAGAGACACAGCCAGAGAGGGAACACAAGCAGGGGGAGTGGGAGAGGGAGAAGCAGGCTTCCCGCGGAGCAGGGAGTCCGATGCGGGGCTCGATCCCAGGACCCTGGGATCATGACCTGAGCCGAAGGCACACGCTTAACAACTGAGCCACCCAGGCGCCCTTTCATTCCTCTTTTTAGCTCTTCAGTAGTTGCTTCTTAGAGTTGGTATAAAATTTCCAATCCTACTCTGGATGTTATAACACATACCCTTTTCCTTTGCTTTCCTAATTTCTCACTCCTAGCTGCTGGATCTCTTTTTCTGTTCAAGCCGTATACACATCTCCTTGGCTTATAGCACGTGTTCTTTTATATGGTCCCATGTACCTAGGTCATCTTGATGTAGATGCCACACTAGGCCTTTCCATCCTGTCATTCTTAAAGTCTGATTAGTCACTTTGGCTCATTCCTTCAACAAGCATTCTATGTGCTGTGCATGGTGTGGGGATAAGAGATAAGTGTTATGGTCCCAGTTATCCCTAGAGGATCACAATTAATGAGGAGACAGACTAAACATCAAATATATTCAATTACAATACACTGGATAGTATGGGAATATATAGGAGCACCATTTACCCAGCATGGGAAGCTTCCTGGAGGAGGTGAGCTTAAAGGATGAATTGTATTAATTCGAGAAGGAAGATGATGATCCAGGGAAAAGGATAGCACATAAAAAGGCTTAGAGACAGGAGAAGCTTTGGTATGTTCAGAGCATCTTAAATCAGTTGCACACTCAGTAGGTCTCATGGGCATTTCTTGGGGGGAGGGAGAGGTGATAGCAGCCTCTTTCTCAAAGTGTAAAGCACCTAAGCCCTCTCCCTTCACACGAATTTTCCATCTCTCTACAGTCTCTTTACTTGGAATACATTAAAAGAAGAATGTGTATGTGGATAGGTCAGGAAACCCTCTACTAGCTGTTTTCAAAGGTCAACATCCCTCCTACCCACACTCGCCCACCCCAGCACACTTCCAGAAAACTTACTTTGATTATCAGAGAGGTATTAGGAATTCCTATACAAACATTTATTTTGGTATTCAGTGTTGTCATTATTTGCGTAGTTTGTGATTTATTTTTCACAATTGGACTATATATTGACCAGTTCAAATGCTGAAGTAAAAATAACTTGTCAGAGGACAAGCACTATCTTTTAAAAATTATGATTTCTTCCTTTCTGGCACCTAAGAGAATGGCAGGGTAGACACTATTTGAACTATCGGGAAATTTTAATTAAAAAGAACTGAAAAATGTTAATCATGCTGTCCTTAGGTTTCATCTCTCAGAATCTTTGGTTTTTCTTTTTTGTGTGCGTCTTTTTATATTCAATCTTTTCAAAATCTTTTAACTTCAAATTTTTAACTTAGAAATTTTCTGTACGTTACATTGACTCTGTTTCTTCCTCCCCTTTGGAATATTCGTTCAAGTATGAGAGGGAATAATAGTTCACGTCCTCTGACTACATTCGCTGCAGTCTAAAGCCTAAAGCCATGGTAATGTGCTTTGTTTACAGTTGTGCCTTCCATTCCCTGCTCCAGACTGGCACTCATAGGGAAGATCATTCACCCTCAGCAGCTCATGCACTCATTTGTTCATGCTGCAATGGGGATGCTCGTGGCTTGGTGTGCTGCGGTGATAACCAAGGGTCAATACAGTTTTCTTGTGGTTCCCTGCACTGGTACTGAGAGGTAATATTAACTTCATTTTTTCTGTGGAACCTTGTTTAGTTACTAAGCCAAAGGTGACCTGCATAGGTAAATAGTTTATGGGCATTCTTTGCTTTCGAGACTTTTATGGAAGTTGCTTTTATACATAATATCAAATGTTTTTGATATTTATGTTTGTTGAATTCAACAGTTTTTTTTTTTAAACATTGTGCAAGGTACTATGCTAGGTGCTGCTGGATTTATGAGAGGGATTCATGCGTAAATTATAGGTCCTTGAGAGTTAAGAACAGGAGGGGAATTAAGCCATGGACACAAACGGATGTGATAGGAGAGAAATAGGAATTTATGTGACATGGGATGTAATAAGAAAGTGAGATGTGCACATAAAACCTGTGGCAGTTCAGGAAGCGGGGAAGATCCCTGGCTTCTTAAGAGGAGGTGGTGTTTAAGGTTGGGGTTTAAGGAAGGATTGTATGGGAAGAATGAAGAAAATACTTTAAAATAATTACAACCACCTTCTTCAGTAGAGTACTTTTATAATTTTGAAACTGATACAGTTTTTTGGGGAGGGGAGAGCACACGCAGGGGCAGGGGGCAGAGAGAGAATCTTAGAGAATCTTAAGCAGGCTTCACACCTGGCATGAAGCCCAATGGGGCTCAATCTCACGACCCTGAGATCATGACCTGAGCCGAAATCAAGAGTCGGTTGCTCAACTGACTGAGCCACCCTGGTGCCCCATAAACTGATGACAGTTCTTGAACACATGACATCGATAAAAATTTCGTGTTGATATTCTGACTTTAAAAATAAAAAAAGATTACAGTAGTAATCTAAAGTTCTCTATTTTTTCTCCTTTTTTTTAGATTTTATTTATTAGCACGAATGAGGGGCAGAGGGTCAGAGGGAGAGGGAGAAGCAGACTCCCCACTGAGCAGGGAGCCCATCTCGGGCTCTGTCCTAGGACCGCAGGATCATGACTTGATGCTGAAGGCAGACACTTAACTGACTGAACCACCCAGGCACCCCTATACTACTGAATATTTAATTTCTTTTTGTCCCCCAGTTACTATTACATAAGGCAGGGTTTTTTTCCTAATATGATCAATTTTCTTTAGTGGAAAGGGTCCCCGTGAGGGATTGCTCAATTGTAAGAGACAACACAGAGAGAAGCCCAAAGTGATGGCATCTCTAGCAGGTCCATAAAGTTCCGTTCTAGTTCCTCTCAGTCCAGATGTAAGCAGCGTTGCTTACTATCACAGGGAACGTTCTTACCCTTATCAGATTTCCAGAGGAAGAGCTAAAGAGTTAACCTTTAGAGAGGTCAAATTCTCATGCATCACGGAAAGGGTTTTGTTAATCTTTTGCCCACACTGAACCTGAAATGAACCATTTTGTTAGAATTTGGGACATTTCTTAAGTGAGTAAGTCAAAGTTTGAGCCTAAAGCAGTGATATGTGTCCCTGACTGTTGAATTAATAACCTAACGTTTTCTTTCCAGTTTAAATAGCCCTGCTGCACAGACCTGCTTAAATGAGTGTCACCTTTTTTTTCTACTGGCTGGAGCATTTATGGGCTACAGCTATAGTCTCCTCTATTTTATTAACAACATGAACTATCTACCATTTCCCATCATCCAGGTAAGACAGCCTTTGGGCGCTACCTTATGTCAGCATGTGGCAGATGCAAAATTGCCTTGATGTATGTATACATAACTGGCCTTATCTGATTAATTCAAGATTTGATTAGTAAAACTTAGGACTGAGATCATCAAAATGCCATTTGGAGAGGAGAGATTTGTCTTCATGAGTTTTAGCATATGTGTGAGAGCTATCACTGCCCTTCCCACTGCCACTCTGAGAACACTGCTTTGCCCCACTCTTTCCCTCCCTGCTAGGTAGTGGCAGTTGCTGTGACCTAGCAGGGCTGGGGGAGGAGGATGATGACATTCATGCAGCGTACCTCTGTGCAGCTGCCGGCTTCTTTTTGAACCTAAGAACTCATGGGCTTGAGGATGTGCAAGTAAGTATAGACTGTCAGTTACTGTCTCACATCTTTTCTAGAAAAAGGCATGATGTGTATAAATAAATAAAACAATTTTGACTAGTTTGAGTAGGACAGTTCAAACTATCTTTCAGTTAGGTTTTTAAAGATCTAATCTGGTAGGAGCCTTCTGTGCAACTAGAACCACCTTCCAAGGCAGGAGAGAGAAAGATCAGTTGAGATTTCTCCTGTGGCATCAAGGTTCTCCCCCGGCTGTTCCCACTCTTCCTGACTGTTCTTATTCGCTTCATTCCTGTGCTGTGGCAGGCTGAGGACTGGGCCTTGGAGCAAAACTATTAGAACCAGCCCCTTCCCAGTAGGACCCAGTCTGGTGGGGAGGGAGGGAGTGACGTGTAAACAAACGTGTCAGAGTATGAGGGTGTGTAGGTTTGGCTTCTCCTGGTTTCACTGAAGTTCCTGCCTTCCTTTTGCCTCCATGAGAACAATCTGTTGAAAATTCACGTACTGCAAGGAGGTAGTACTCACAGAAAAGGAGCTGGCCCTTACCTCCCTGCAAACCATTAATGTATGAAGAAAGAGTCCCAGTTAGAAATTTTTCACATTTTGAGATGAATTAAAAGCAGAATATCAGCTTTGCCACTTTAAAATTTTACAAGGAGGAAAAACCCTGAAATTCTATACAGAAATATCCATGCTGAATCATATTTGATCCAAATATAATTAAGAATATAGGGAAGAAAAGTGTTAGAGAAAAATGAGATACCCCAAAATACCTTGCTTCCCCCTGGACCTCAGTTGAAAGTGACCATTTGTTTAACATCACAGACATGCAGTAGAGTAAATGTAGGAGCAGACCAGTAATTGATGGTACTAATAAATTGTTCCTACCATGTAATGTCACATTTGTAAAATTTGACTACTAAATTATTTTGTAATTTCTTTTGACAAAATTTTAGATTTATTCTTGTATCCCAGAAATTTCTCTTCTGATGGTAATATTTAGCTTTTACTTCAGGTTTAACTTTTGCAGAAGGTTAACTTCTAACATTTGGCCATTCAGTATTTGGCCAAAATATATGTTGGGGACATCTCTTGTAACCATGAGTGTATAGTGGTATTTAGTCTCCCCGGCTGGGTGCTCTCTCCAGCCTGGGGATGCTTGGAATAGGGCTTTTGTTGGGTGGGTGCAGTGGAGTAAGGGAGGTCAGGATTTTGGCAGGAGCAGTTGAAATGATGAATCTTTGTGCCCAGGATCATAGTTTCTCATCTATCTCGTTTGTAACTGTCTTTGTTTGCCCGGCTGGGTAGATTTACCTCCTCAGAAGATTGAGGGGGAAGGAGGACACCATACCTTAGCTTTCTTTGATTAGCCCTAAGAGCCTGGTGTGCATTGTATGATCTTCCCTTAATGCGCTTTAAGTTGCTAAGGAAAGCAGGATTATCAGGAAATTGTAAGCTTGATGTGAGATCAGGCCTATTTCTTCTTGTGAACCTCTATAAAGCAATATGATGGCAATCGCCATTTACTTTTTTTCTTTAACTGGCCAAGCTGACCAGAGAATGTTAGACCTCAAAATAAGAATTTTTTTTACAAGCAATAACAACCATTATTATTATTAGCATCATCATCATCATCATTATTTTTGGTGCTGCCTGTCAGCTTTCTTCCTAAGAGTATAGTGGTAACATTTTGATTAAAAAATATTCAAATACTGTAAATAAAATGAAAGTTCCCTTTGGCCATTCTGGGGCCAGTCTCAATCTTTGCCTCAGAGATAATTGTGACCAGTTTAGTGTATATTCTGCTAGGCCCTTTTCTGTACATTTACATATATAGGACTTATAACATATATCTTGTGGGGTGGAGCCTCCATTAATAGTTTTATATTGTCCCTATTATTCAGTAACTACTGTTTTCATGTAATTATGAAAAATTATATCTTTTTAAAGATCTAATTCTAACCAATTTACCATTAGCTTACTAATTTTTCTTTAGCCTATAGTTCTAAAACCAATTCCATTGTCTTTATCAAATTCTTAATGACAGACTGATAGGGAAAAGCAGAACATTAGCATGGAGTAGAGGACAAAGAAGTGGATGAACATCAAGACAGGGCTTGGCAAGTTCTAGGCCAACAAGACTGAAAGTATTAAATGAGATAAGAATTATAGAGCCTGGCACATAATAAATCCTCAGTAAAGGGTTAGTTTCTAGCCAAATCACAGAAGAAACCCAATAGGGAATTGAAAAACACTTCAGCTGGGGAACAGTAAGAGGGTATATTAGCTGTTCTCTGCATATCTACTGAAATGCCTACCTGTTTCCCTAGCCTCTTTGAACCCTTGTGAGTCATGGTTGAGGTGAGAGCTTCAGTAGGAATAGTATAGGAACTATACCCTTTTTATTGGGGGGTCAAGTAAGAAGGTTAGCATCCAGTGGCTGCATGGAATTGTGCCATTCCGTATCTGAGACTTTGAACATATCCAAAATAAACCAGGATACTTGAAGCTGTGTGTTTGGTGACCAAGTATTCATATGGGCTGCTTTTTGGTAAGATGCTGTAGGAGTTCACAGACATAGTATGAAGATAAAACTTTTACCTATGTATATAATTATTTGCTCTTCTTTAGCTTCTGAATTTTCTTAAAGAAGGATCAGTCATAATAGAAGCACAAAAGAAGACCAGAATTTGGGAAATTCATCTTTGCTTCATTAAATTTTCTTAAGTTCTTTCCAGTAATTTAAAAATATTTTTTCCATTGGCATTTTTGGGGCAGGGAGAGGAGGGAGGCAAATAATCTTTATTTCAAAAGAAGTGTAGTTTTATCAGGAAAAAAAACATTTCACATTTTTTTCTTAATATTTCTTAGATTGTTAGAATTGAAGGTACTACTCATTTATGCACTGTTTAGCTGGGTCAGCCTTCTTAATTGCACAAATAACTGGAGACATGACTTGCTCAGTGCTGCAGAGAGAAGCACTAGAACTCAGGTCTCCTGACTCAGTCTGGTGTCTTCTTCTGCCTCCAGTTTTTCTTGCAGATAGCATTTAAAAACAGTGTAGAGGCAGTGTGTACATTATATTTAAGATTGCAGTCTCTGAAACTGGACTGCCTGGGTTAAAATGTCAGATTTTCCTTTTGCCAGCTGGTAAGTTGGTTCGGTGTGCCTCAGTTTTCTCATTGATAAGATGAGGATAATAACGGAACCTTCTTTATAGGTTGTGCTTAGAATAGTACCTGGTACAAGCTAAGCAGCCAAAGAATGTTAGCTGCTGTTGTTCTGATCATCATGTTTTTTGTACTTACTCCATCTCCATAGTCCTTAGTTTAAGTATAGATCAATATTGTTAATTTTGTCTTTTCTGCTCTCATATCAGCGAGATGTTGTATAATGTAAATATTAAATATTTTATCAGAAATTATTGATTTTTTACCTCTGGAATAAAGTTTGTCTTTTTATACAATGATTATGTTTTTTATACAATGATTATGTTTTTTATATATGGACTGTTTTAGTTATGTGCTTGCTTTAGAATGAAATAGAACCTCTCCTTGGATGTGTCATTTGATTCTGTTTTTCTTTTTTTTCATAGCAATACAAGTTCTTACGCTTCAGGAGATCTCTGCTCTTGTTAGTTAAGCATAGTTGTGTGGAATCACTGTTTCTGATTAGAAATTTCTGCATCGTGTATTATTTTCTTGGTAAGAATTTCTGCTTTTTGATACAATGTATGTGCTAGCTCATAGCTCAGAAAATGTCAGTTTCAAAGTCATTTTTGATTGTATGTTTCTTAATTGTAGGTAATGTGATTAGTCCAACTGATTCATTGTTTAGATTGTCATAGAGTATTTATTTAGTTAAGGGACAATATTGTTAAAGAAAATTTGGTATTTACATACAATGGGATATAATTCAATCTTAAAAAAAGAAGGAAATCCTATCACAAGCTACAACATGGATAAACCTTGAGGACATCATACTAAGTGAAATAGGCCAGTCGCAAAAAGACAAATACTGCATGATTCTACTTATATGAGGTATTATTTGAGTAGTCAAACTCTTAGAAACAGAAAGTAGAATTGTGCTTGCCAGGAGCTATGTGGGGAGGGGAAAGGGAGAGTTGTTGCTTGGTGGGTAGAGAGTTTCAGTTTGCAAGATGAAAAAGTTTGGGAGATCTGTTGCACAAGGTACATATAGTGTATGTACACTTAATGGTTAAGATGGTAAATTTTGTTATGTGGTTTTTACCACAATAAAAAAAAATTCTTTTTTAAAAAAGAAGAAAATACTGTATATTACTCTATAAATAACATACTCCTTTTTATAACTTTTTGTAACTTGGTACGAATATACTAGAAATATTCTGCTGAGGGAACCTTATAGAATTTATTAACATGAATTTTAAATACAAAAATACTTGTACTTATGTAATATGATGAGCAGTTCAAGTTGAATGGAAAACATTAATCTCAGTAGCAACACATAATAATATAAACAAAATTCAACATCCTAAAATACTGTTTTCCAACTATAGGTTTCATCCACTATCTGAAAGTAGAGTGTCTGTGAAACCTTTTGTAAGCCAAAATGGCACAAAGTGAAGTAGCAATTAGCTTTAATTTATAGGGAAAGAGTTTTGAACATCCCCCACCCCCAAAATAACCTCTCTTAGGCTTTTCTGATGCCTTAGGACACATCTTGCTAACGGATGCACAAAACAAATGGAGATAAAGCACAGACGCTCACGGACACAGTGAAAGCTACGGAGGCTTGCTGCTGAGATGCTGAGCGTATTTCCTGGGTTAGGAGCTTGGCTGCGCCCCTCTCACTGTTCAGGATGCCCTGCTTCTGTACAGTAACGGCTCTGGCGTGGGGCAAAACAAGTGATGAATGCTGTTTTCGCTTTTGTGCCTTATTCATAAATGTGGATTTCTTTCAGTTGGTGAAAACAGGTGCTAGCATAGGCCTTTCATAGAAATGAAGTGACATACCACGAACTTTGGAAAAGCGGGGGTTACCTATATAACTTTCTGACCCTACTTTTTTCTATGGAATAATTTTACAGAATTGTTCTCACTGGGTATAGGCCATTCTGTTGTCCACTTCATTCACTTTTAGTTTAAATAACCCATTTTTCTACATAGCTCTTATAATTGTCATTCTAATGTTAACACTTCATTGTTTTTTATTAACCTGCTACCATGAGCCTGGATGTTCCCTACGGTTGTATATTTGGGCTGACATAGCAGCCGCATCAACATTTCCGTGGTCAGCTGTATCTTCTCTAATCCCATTTATGTTCCATTTCAGATTTCATTTCAAGAGTTACCCCTTTTCATTTCTTTGTTGCACTTTGGTCTTTTTGGTCAGTTTCCTCTTTCAATTACTCATTTTTGTAAAATGTTGTGTGGGCTTTTCAGGGAGAAAAGGAGGTAGCACAATTACATGTTTTGCTGTCTGTACCTGAACTTAATAACAGACATCAGTGACCAGTCGCCAGCAGACTTAGAAAGAAGGGATGTGATTAGTCAGAAGTTGTGTGTATCCGTTATCTACATACTGATTTGTGTACTGAGAAGCTAGAAGTACTATATTCAGTTGCTCACAGTAAATGTACCATGGTAACTGAAATTTGAATCGTGTTGTTGGGGGACTGTTGTGATTTAACTAAACCACTGAAATATGTACATAAATCTGACCTGTGCAAAGCAAGGACTTCATATATTTAGAAATTATTCTCTTTTCCTGCCCATTCCTTTTTTTTTTTTTTTTTTAAGATTTATTTATTTACTTTAGAGAGAGTGGGGGTGGTAGGGGGCAGAAGGAGAGAATCTTAAGCAGACTCCCCGCTGAGCACAGAACCCCATGTAGGGCTTGATCTCACAACCCTGGGCTGAGATCATGACCGGAGCTGAAATCAAGAGTTAAACACCTAACTGACGGAGCCACCTAGGCGCCCCTCCTGCCCATTCCTAAGCAAACAATCTAGCTTTCTGACTGAGGTCTTGGTGTCTACTTGGTCATCTCATCAACCTCATATTACAAGGCATGGTTAAGATTTGCTTTATTAACTTTTTATGTTCATAGCGTGGTATTTTTTTCTCTCAGGCCATATCCCCAAAGCTTGGATTAGCACTGCAATGGACCTTCAGATAGATGAGTAAGTGACAGATGAAAAGTCTGCTTTTTCACGCTGCTAGTTTCCATCCTTTTTAGGTGTTTGCCACTTTCCAGATGTGTTGTTCAGATTTAGCCTTTAAATTTTTAAAAAATGGTATTCATTTTGGAATAGACCTAGTTCACATAATTTAAAATTTCCAATGCCATAAAATAGGGTATACAGTTAAAAAGAATCCTTTTGCTCCAGTCTCTAGTCACCCAGTTCCTCTCCCTGGAAGTCAGCAATGATAATTTGTTTTTTATTAGATACAGCTTTTATATTATGGAAAAGTGGACTTCTTGAGTTGCATGGACATACCTCTCGTTTGTTTTTCTCCTCAATCATCATTCTCTCCTATGTTGTAGTAGGCGAGCACAGTGCTATGGTATTATTCTAATTTTGCCTCTAAGGAAGCCAAAATTGAACAGGGTCATGGCACCAGTTGAAGGTCATTAAGTGGCAATCGAGTGGCAGCACTGGGGTGTATTGCTTTAGTTATTCCCAGTGTACTCTGCACATAGTTAAAGCTTTAATCTTTACTTGGCAAATAAATGTAAATTTCTCTATTAGTATTTGTTCTTTTAATTATTGGCTATTCTACCGTGAGATTTTTTGTGTGTCATATATGGATTTAACTAATACCATTTTTCGGGAGTGAGGATACTGATATTTGTGGGTGCTTAAGATATTATGGTTTCTACATTGTGGATTTCAATTTCTTTTTTGTGTGGATTTCAATTTCTAACTTTTAAAAGTTCCTAGGTAAAATGTAGTTTTGTCCTCTGCTTAATTGCTAGATATGAAACTAAATGCATGGGTCATTTATTATGTTAGCCCAAATTTTATGTTGGGTCAAATGGAAAAAGAAAAATAATAATGATATTTGATTGTAATTTAACATAGTACTTTTTTCTTTCTTTCACTTAAAATATATTTTGTTCGTATGGCAGTGCCTAATATACTGTCCTTAATATATGGTGGGCCCTCAATAAGTATTTACTTAAAATCTGAAAATAACTTTCTTCTCCCCAGGAAGTGTTAAGCACTATGCTGGGCACGCCTAACATAAGGTGTTTTAAATCTCATAATAGCCATAAGAGGTAGAAAGAGATTATGCCACCATTATATGGATGAGGAAATTGAGGTGGGTTAGGTCAAGCAGTTAACATAATCACAGCACTGATAAATGGCAGAGCCAGAGGTTCTAATCCTGTTTTAAAAATTGCTAGTTGTGTGATTGTAGGACTATGATGACTTTGCCAGTTGATCTATTCAAGGCTTTGGTAAAATAGTGTTCACTTTATTTAGCTTTCTTTTTTATTTTTTTTTTAAAGATTTATTTATTTGAGAGAGAGACATAGAGTGCGTGTGCGGTGTGGGGAGGGGCAGAATAAGAGGGACAAGTGGATTCCCCGCTGAGCACAGAGCCCCATGGGGCTGATCCCAGGACCCCGAGATCATGACCTGAGCTAAAGTCAGATGCTCAACAGACTGAGCTACCCAGGCTTCCCTTCTTTTAGCCTTCTAACAGTTTCTTAAGTTATTTTAAAAGTAAAGATTTTGATTTTAGATAGTGCCATGTGCTCTTAACTATTGTGGAACTGTTTTTAGGGTGTACAGATAAAGCTGAAATCTGGCCCAGGAGAGGTGCTAGTCTTGTTGAATGGTTATGTATCAAACTACAAAGCAACAATAGTAAAATTTTACCCAGCCTCTAAGGGTTGGTTTATAGGCTTGACTCATTCTTCCTCCACCGTAAATGACAGTGAAGATTTGGAACACAAGAAACTGAGTGCAAATTTAGGTCTGTTCTTCCTTTAAGGCTCCCTTATGTAGTTTATAAGAAGGTATTAGGGAGAGAATTTTATAGGGTGCAAAAGGAAAGGAGTCTATATCACCATTATTATTTAGAAATAAGATTTATTTGTTTTTCATTATGAGGCCCCAAGTCTGTTAAATGCTTAGATTGTATCTTCCCCATAGGATTAAACAGTAATTTCTGCTTTCATAGGCAGTTTCACAGGCCTCTTGACACTGTGCGTGGCCTCTTGAATCTCTCATTACTCTACCATGTCTGGCTGTGTGGTGTCTTTCTTCTGATGACTTGGTATATCTCATGGATACTCTTCAAAATCTTTGCCACAGAGGTTAGTATTGAGTTTTTTGTTAATGGTTTTGTGTTTTGGAGTGCACAGATTTATTTATAGCAGAGCACTGAGTATGCTCTTGTGCCCAGAGCTGTTTTGAGTAAGTTGGGTTTCTGTCTCTTTTCTGAGACTTCATTAGGGATGTGTCATTTGTAACCATAATTTACTCTGTGTGTGTGTGTGTCTGTGTGTCTGTGTGTGTCTGTGTCTGTAAGGAACAGTGTTAGTGTTCTTGATTTTTGGAAACTAAACTGAATGAACTGCTAGCGGAGCTTACTCTGCTTTATCTGTAGTGTCATTCTCTTCTGAAGGTTTCCATTTCTCTATTGAGCACATACTAAATGCCTGAATTTTAAATTAGCTTTATGTGCTATTGATAAAACTATTAAGATATTTAATATAAGACAATAAAATATTTGTTCTTTGAGAGAAAGTTTTAAATTTTGTATTGAAATGATTTTAAATGAATGGGAATTCCATTGTTTTTATCATCCAAGTGTTTGTCTTAAAAAATGAATGTTTCATTTTACGATCTCTGTAGGTTTGTATCCTTCAGTGGCTTCAGAGAATATTTGTTTCTATTATTGGAAGCCAGAGATCTAATCAAATTGGGAGAGTAACATCTTAGAAAGTAGTGTGTTTGGGTATATTTAATTTTAATGCAACCTATTAAAACACTGAAGATATTAATTTGGTTATATTGTCTCCTGTTGTAATAAATTCAATTAGTGTTAACTTACTGAATGTAATAAAGTCAAGAAAATAACCATCTTCATAGTCTTGATATTTGATTATATTTGATAGGCTCATCTGTTCCCTGTTCAGCCACCATTTTCAGAAGAGTCAGATGAATGCCTCCCGAAGGTTTTGAACAGCAGTCCTCCCCTCATCATAAAGGTATCTGAATTGTGCATTTTTGTCTTTACATAGTCATCTCTAACTTGTCTTACGGAATGGACTTAATATTTAGTGTATTTAGATATATTTTTTGAGGGCCTAGAATATTCTAATACCAGTATTGTAAAAAATCAACTACATGCTGCATTGAATGCTGTTTACTTTTTCAGTTTTCATTTCAAGTGACTAAAATATAAGGATATAAGCTAATTTGTACGAGCTAAACTATATTTAGGATAGATACAAAAAAATTTCCAAACATGAAACACCATGATATGCGACCATGTCTGATAGCTTTTCACAAACTCCTCATGGTAGCAAAACAAAATGCTGTTTTTCATTTTTGCTTTTGTTTTTTATTATTGAGTCAAGGTGTATTTTTACTCATGTAGTATTGTTGGCTGTTATGATCAAAGGTGGTGCTTGGTAGGTGTACAATTACAGTGAACTCTCTCAAAATAGAAATAATGATAATGATCCCAAAATCAGTTTTAATCAAAAGAGTTTAAAGAAGCTGTAGTAAGTTTACAAATGAGACTGAGAATAACTTGTTTTAATTTAAATTGTATTTTAAAATTTTGAAGTAGATCTACAATATGTGTGATCCTGTTAAGAGATCATAGTGCTTAAAAAAGAATTTGAAGAAAATGGAACCCAGAGTTTGGAATACACTCTAGAAAAGTTATAAACTAATAAGAAAATGAACCACTGAGGGTCTGATTACCTTTAAACATCTATTACGACTAATTTATTAGATAAACAAAAATATCAGGTACCCATTGGGTTACTTAACAAATCTGTATTCACTCGGTAGGTGTCAGTCACTGTTAGTTGCTGAAGGCATAATAATGAATTAGATGTGGCACAGCCTAATGGAAAAGGCAGATACACAAAATAATGAAAATTTATTGTGGTAAGTGCAGTGGGAACCAAAACTACTTATTCTGCTTGGAATCAAAACAAGAAAGCTTCACAGAAGTGATGGTGTCTTGAATGATGAGTGAAGGGGTTTGCCAGGAAATAAAATGAAGATTTTCAGTAAAAAAGTACAACATATGTTGTGTGTGTGCTATGTGCCTGGCACTGCCTTTGGATGTGGTAGCAAGCAAGACGCAGTCCCTGCCTCACAGTTTAGTGGGTGGAACCAGATGAGACAAGTAAACAGGCAATTACAATAAATTATGTTAAGTGCCACGGTTGAGAGCTGTGTGAATACATGTTTGTGTGAGGGAAGCCTGGGAAGTTCCAGGAGGAAGTGATGTTTTAAGTTTCCCACCATAGACGTGGGAAAAGACAGAGAGATCTGTAGCTGTAGCCACCAGTGGGTGGGGCAGCCTACAGAGGGTAGAAGCAAGAAAGTTCCAGGACTCTAGAAAGTGGAAAAGTATTTACTTCATGAAAAATTTCAATTAATTTCCCCTTACATATATAATGCTGAGCCCAATTCATAAGTAAAATTTTATGTAGAAGTTAAAAAAAATAATGTGTGTTTTTTTCCCCCTTTTAGTATTTGGCCTTGCAGGACCTGATGTTGCTTTCTCAGTATTCTCCTTCACGAAGACAGGAAGTTTTTAGCCTTAGCCAACCAGGTATTGCTAAAAGTAACAGATATGGGCTTGTGTGTGCAGAAAGTGTTCCATTTAAAATTTTTGGTGAGAGAGATGTGTTTAATACAATATCACACAACTGTGAGTCCATTCAATGAAGTATTGATTTAAATCTTATGCAAGTGTTTCCATTGCTGTGGTTAGAAGTTGTATTTCCAGAAAAGTATTTTTAAACTCTTATGTATTATCTTCTTCAGCATCCTCATTCCCTTAACCTGAAGAAATTATGAGGTAGGTTGACAGTTTTAGAGCAGAAGAGTAGAGTTTAAGAATCCTCAAAGTTTTAATGCTACAAAGGGTCTTGAAAATCAGGTGGTCTAATCCCTAGATGGGGGATCTAAGTCTCAGAGGGATTAAGTGGCTTACATAAAGTTAATGTCAGAGATGGAATAAGAAATTCTATCCTTTGACTTCCAAATACAGAGCTCCCTCCTTCTGCCATGCTACTTTGCCTCCCTTTAAAAAAGAGTAAAAGAGTACTAGATTTGATGGTGACCCCAGGATGCTCTTGGCAACTCTGAAACACTTCTCTGTTGTTACTTGTTACAGACTCCTTGTTAGAACTATGCCAGTGCTCTGCCTTGTTCCTGGATGGAAAGCATCTCAGCCCAGGCACCAGTGGTGAATAGGGAACCTAGGTAGCTTTTCATCTCTGTAATCAGCTTTTCATTGTTCTGCATACTTGCCAATTCCCACATATAAAAGAAACCTTCTATAGTTAAATATTATATGGAAATGAAATTCAGTTACATAAAAGTTAAAATGATTGGAGCCACACTCTCCTTTTGGTATCATGAAAAATCCAGAGCTGATGCTGTGGAAAATTAACAAGTCTTTCCTATCAGAGTTAGGTTCACCAAGGAATTCTCTATAAGTTAAATATTTTCACCAGATACTCCAGTAAACTGTAACAGGGTGACATGTTCTCTGCCAGAGAACTTACGTTCTAGGGCATATTATTAAAATTTAACTTGACCATTGTGGTCAAGTTAACTCAGGACTAGTGGTCCTGAGTTAATAGCAGTTCAAAACATTCTGGGACCTACTGATGGAGTATTTTGTTTGCTTGCAAGTTAAGTTATATTCCTCTGGAGCTGTATATAAATGGGGGCAGTGTTTAGGGAGGGATCTAAGTGAAGAGAGAAGGATTATTTGGCACCTAGACTGGGGAAGCCAGTTTTCAGTGGACTCCTCAGCTATTCTCAACATAGAAAGATTGATTGGTTGGTTGATTTCTACATGGCAGCTGTAGGCGATAAAGGTCTTAGAAAATGAAAAGATAATGAGAAGTGAGGGAATTTTTACAAGATTGTGGATCACAGTAGTTTAAGTTAAATAATAAAGAATGTAAATTCTCTATAAAGTGTGAGTTATCAAATACTGTGTTATTCCTACAGATATAATAACAAATAGGAGCTATTATAAATGAAAATGTAAGGAAGCATAGTGGGCCAGACACAACAGTTTATAGGTCACTGGGGGTCATGGGTTGCATCTCATCAGACATGCTTGTATTCATTGTCTTAGTCTTTAGTCTGTTCAGTGGTGCTAAGGAAGTAACTTTGCTCTTTTTCATCCAACCCATGCTCTAGTGTTTGGCTTTATTTTAGCAGCCAATGTAAGAGGTTTTTTGTTTTGTTTTGTTTTGTTTTGTTTGTTTTATGCTAAAATTGCCAGCTTTTACTCATAGACTTTTTGGAAAATTATTTTGTCCAAATATTTATTGAACTCCCGCTGTGTATTAGATGACAGGAGTATAAATAGTAGCTTAGCCAAGGAAAGTGGGCCCTGATGCAAAGTGTCATGTAACATTTTTTTTTTAAGATTTTATTTATTTGAGAAAGAGAGCCCATGAGTGGGGGGTGGGGGGGAGAGGCAGAGTTCAGAGAAGCAGGCCCCCTGCTGAGCAGGGAGCCCGCTGCAGGGCTCCATCCCAGAACCCCAAGATCATGACCCAAGCCGAAGGCAGATGCCTAACGAACTGAGCCACCCAGGTGCCCCTGTCATGTAGCATTTCTTACTGAGTTTTCTCCTTACATTGAGAACGTGACTATAAGATTATGTACATTTGAAAAGCTGGTGTTTGGACCTCCTAGGTGGACATCCCCACAATTGGACAGCCATTTCAAGGGAGTGTTTGAATCTTTTAAATGATATGACTCAGAAACTGGTTCTCTACCAAGAAGCCGCTGCTACGAATGGGAGAATGGTGTCCTCATACTCTGTGGAACCCAAGAAATCGAATTCTCCAGGTAATTTGTATATTATTGTGAGAAGGCAAAGTATGTACATTTTGTTTCCTAAGAAAGATGATGGTAGTTAATCTAAGGATATGTATATATGAGTGTGAGGGATGTATTTTTAGGGAAAATTGATCTAATACATGGAATATTGTACTGAACCAAGAAAAAGGCCTGGGTATCATTATAGATTGAAGAAATTAAGTCTGCTGTGCCGGTGGTGGCTCATCCAATAGAAGCCTTCAGCTTCCTCAAGTGCAGAGCCAGGTGAAGCATTACAGGTCATACTGGGTGCTGTTCTCATCGCAGTATCCCAGAGACAGGTAGTTGCTGGACAGTGCCCAGAGGAGAGCACCTGCAGTGACTGAGCGATTTCACTGTGGGGGCATCACATTCATTGTTTTAAGATAGCTTAATAGAATATTTGAAAGATGGAAGCTGAGGGCAAGAAGTACAGTGGAGGGACCGAGGCTATTTGACCAAATTCCTTAAGTAGAAGAGGCCTAGGAATATACGACTAATGAAAGGTCTTAATGTCCACATGGCTTTTGGAGGCAGACCTTGAATGAAAATGAGCAAAATTGGCTGGGTGAGGACTGTGGTAAACTTGAGAGCGCGGGCTTCACCTGAAGGGGAAACCGTGGGTTAGCTTCAATAGGTTATAAGAATTTGGAGCTGGTGTGCCACAGCTCCCCTGCCCCCCATTAAGTGAAGCCTGAAAGCCAAAAATATTGTGGGTGAAATTTTCCACTTTTTAAAATGTTGGCAATTAATCTTGATATTTAAAAAACAATCCCTATATGGGTCACAGCAAGCATCATTACTTTGGAGGGGCCATAGACCAAAAACAGAGATTACAAATGAGAAATGATTTAGGTAAGACCATGAATGTCAGATTGTAAAAGATTCTAGAGTGTTTCAGTTCTCAACATTCAGATTAGCATTTATTTTAACTCAACAAATATTTATTGAATGCTTACTATATACCAAGCAATGTGCTAGAAGCCAGAGATTCAAAGATGAAAATACACTCTTGGAACTGACTTCTGGTGGGAGGCACATAATGACAGGACAGTGTAGCTGCTAAAAGGAAGTCTGTCACAAAGAAGTCTGAATGGGTAGGATGATGGTTGATAATGGAAGGAGGCCTTGTATGTCCAGGTAGGAGTTTGCATTTTGTAGGGAGAGGGTGCCATTACAGGATTTTAAGTAGGCTAGTTATATCACATTAGCATGTTAGATCATTGTAACCTTGGGTTGTTGCGGGGGGGGGGGGTGTCATGGGTCTGACCAAATAGGAATTATTCATTATTTTAAATTGCTGTCACATCCCATTGCTCAGTCAAAATTTGCTTCTAATTTTGCAAAACTTAAAAAACCTCAGTCTTAATTTTTAAATTGATTCTTCAAATATTTCCAAAGTCTGGCACTTTAAATGTTTGATGTTTTATGGCGGTTTTATTAAGATGATAGAATACTAATGTAATTTATTTGTCTTTGTGCCTTGTACTGAAGTGGCTGGAAAAATATTCCTTTGTTTTTGTACAACAGAATCTATAAATTGGTGGTTATAATTGTCGAAGACGGTGTTTACAGATCATATTTGTAGATGGATCCTGGGCAGATTCATCTCTGGTGTGACTTCTGTTAACTTGAAAAAATTCTGTGGAAAATGGATAAATGTGCACCTTTTATCGGTACACTTTCGCAGTACAGGTTTGTTTTAGTCAAGTAACAGCTGTGGTAGGACCTTGGGGTAACGCTGGACATATCCCAGTGCAATAATTGAAGTTGTTGCCGTTTGAAAATAAAATATAAATTGATAGGTTCGTTCGTTTAACACAGCTTAGATTTAGAGAAACTGACCTTGAAGGTGAAGGTATTCTCTTGGAGGTGGGGGGGGGGGTGTGTGGAGAAAACGAGAGGCCGCAGCAGTCTGATGGAAGAGGATGTAGAATGCTCCACGAGTGGTCACTGAGCTGCAGTAGTAAAAGCTGGATGTTGAGAATGTGAACCCAAAGGATCCAAGCTCCTGAGCCTTGGGTAAATGCGTGAAACCAAAACCTGAGATGTGTACAGTTTGTTCAGGTTGCCTCTTCAGCACTGGATCTCTTCTTTTACAGAAGAAACTACTTTTCAGACCCCGAAATCTAGCCAGATACCTCGGTCTTCAGTGCCACCATTAGTTAAGACATCACTGTTTTCCTCCAAATTATCTACGCCTGATGTTGGAAGTCCCCTCAGAAGCCCATTTGGCTCTAGTGTAGTGAATCGGATGGCTGGAATTTTTGATGTAAATACCTGCTATGGGTCCTCTCAAAGTTCTCAGCTAATAAGAAGAGGGCCAAGATTGTGGACTTCTGCTTCTGGTAAGGGGACTGTTTTCTTTTTTTTTTTTTTTGAGACAGAGAGAATGAGAGAGAGCGCATGAGAGGGGGGAGGGTCAGAGGGAGAAGCAGACTCTCTGCCGAGCAGGGAGCCCGATGCGGGACTCCATCCAGGGACTCCTGGATCATGACCTGAGCCGAAGGCAGTCGCTTAACCAACTGAGCCACCCAGGCGCCCAAGGGGACTGTTTTCTAAAATTTGAAATGTCATAGTTACAGAGACTCAGATATCCTGAGTTTTCACCTTCATGGTTTTTTGTTTTCTGTTTTTTTATTTAGATCAGCAAATGACTGAATTTTCTAATCCTTCTCCATCTAACTCTGTTAGTGCTGAGGGTAAGACAGCAAGACAACCCAGTTTGATTTATTCATGGATTCAGAATAAACGTGAACAGGTAGGATGATATGGTTATAGGATTTATATTAGCATGTATCATTGAGAGCATCAAGGATGCCACATGAGTAAGCCATCAGGGATAAATAAGACTTTTTTTTTTTGATGCTTCATGTATTAAGTTGACTCATATGACATTGCCAGTATTTGACTGGTTTTGAGTTATATAAATTGCAATTTCATATGACTTTACCTAATGTGACGCCTTTGATCTGTGAATTCTTTCATTTAAGAAATAGTTACTGAGTTCTTTATATATGCAGAGTGTGGTTTTAGGCACTGGGAAAACAGCAAACAAAAGCCCCTGACCATTTGTTTACATTCCAGTGAAGGGAAATAGATGAACAAGCAAATGTATTAAACTATATCTCTTTAAATATAAAAATATTCTATTAATTGTAGGACTTATTTAGTGTACTGTTAAGGAAAAAAGTTGCCAGTTAAACCATGACATGCTATTGATTATAAGATGCATCCCAGTGTTATATTCAAAATATGAACAATATGTGTTTTAAAAGGGAAGAAATTTGATGTCTTAAGTGCTATATAGAAAAATAGAGCAGGTAAGAGAGGTCTCACTGGTAAGGCAACACTTGATTAGAGACCTGAAGGGAAGGCAGGGAACAGCAAAATGCCAAGGTCTTCAGGTGGGAGTGGACTTGGTTTGGGTGAAGGATAGCATGGACACCAGTAGATGGTGGGGAAGTCAGAGAGGTAGCAGGCACCCAGAGCTTACCAGGCACATTAGCTGTTGTGAAGACTCACATTTTCTCTGAGTGAGACAGAAAGCCACAGGATGGTTTTGTCCACTAGAATGACACGATGTAACCTTACATTTTGAAAGTGCTGCTTTAGCTGTCGTGTTGAGATGAGATCCTCGGAGGGCAGGAGTAGGAGCAGAGAGACAGTTGTAAAGCTGTTGAGGTAATCTAAGTAGGAGATGATGGTATCTGTCACCAGAGTGGTTGTGGTAGAGACTGTAAGATGTGATCAAGGTCTGGATATATTTTTTTTTTTTTTTAAAGATTTTATTTATTTATTTGTTTGAGAGAGAGAGTGAGAGATAGCACGAGAGGGAAGAGGGTCAGAGGGAGAAACAGACTCCCTGCTGAGCAGGGAGCCCGATGTGGGACTCGATCCCAGGACTCCAGGGTCATGACCTGAGCCGAAGGCAGTCGCTTAACCAACTGAGCCACCCAGGCGCCCCAAGGTCTGGATATATTTTGAAAGCAGGTGTAATAGGATTGGCTTATGGTCTGGTTGTGATGTAAAAGAGAGAATCAATGTTGACTTTCAAGTTTTTGGCCTGAGAATCTTCTGAAATAATATAGTTGCAATTAGCTGATGATTCTGGAAGAGGAGATTTGATAGAGGTGAGGTAGGGAATCCTGAGTTCGGTTTATGTCCATTTTGAGATGCTTATTAGACAACCAATTGAAAATAAGGAGTAAGAACTGAGACATAGATCCAGAGTGTAGGGATAGAAATGGGAATTTGGAAGTCATCAGCATACAGACAGTATTTAAAGCCATGAGACTCCATGAAAACTCTTTGGGATTGGATACAGAAGAAGAGAGATGCCAGAACGGGACCCTCCAGGGACTACAGGTCTGGGAGATGAGGGGGAATGGCAGAAGAGACCAAGTGACTGGAGGTGAGAAGAGAACCGAGAGGAGAAATGAGTGGCCACATTCTGCTGATAGGTAGCCTGAGAGCTGCACTAGGAAGAGCTTGTGCTGGGAATGTGGAGGTCATTGAGTCCTTGATGAGCTTCTGGGTGGAGCAGCTGGGATGAATGCCGATTGGATGGGGCCAGGAGAGATTGGGGGAGGAATCAGAGGTCACACGGAGAGCTGGATCTTTCAAGGAGTTTTGCTATAAGGGGTGCAGAGAAACGGGGTAATTAATAGCTGGAGGGAGTTGAGGGGTCAAGGAAGGGTTTTATTTTTTAAGATGGGAGTTCTGACAACATCTTTGCTGATGGAATGATTGATTAATAGAGACTGTGGGCATTTTACAAGCTTTGGGATCCCATTTGCCCTACATGCCATAAATCTGCCATGTCATGAATTCACTTTCAAGTCAGTTGGGGTATGTAGCTTTCAGCTTAATACTAAGAAAATTGTTTCCCGTGTCAATGTCAACTAGTAGAAAACCATTTCATCTCTTAAGATTTTTTTTTTTTGTAAGGGAAACACACTCTTTTGGTATTAAGAGGCTAAAGGGCAAGACAGTTGTAGAGAATTGAATAAGAAAATATCACCGGAACCACTTTGAATTCCTTTTATCATAGGGCTCTGATTTGGGGGTTAGCACGTGTACATGGAAATGCAGTTTAGGTTAGACGACCCATCTTGGTTATCTAATTTATAGTACAAAGGTATTTACTTATGTAGTTTACTGCAAATATTGTTCTTTGTAAGATGTGAAGTGTTTCACAGCAAGAACCTGGGAATGTGTTAATATTATATTTGAAAAGAATTGAAAACTAAATGTGTTCATTCTTCCTTTTCTCCAACTCAGGTTAAGAATTTCTTATCAAAACGGGTGCTGATAATGTATTTTTTCAGTAAGGTAAGAATATATAGTTAGAGTGTTGGGAATGGCGGGGAGAGGAAATGAAATAAGAAATGAAGTACCAGGTTGGATTTGACTTCTAAATACTGAGTTCGATCCTAGCAAGCCAGACAGCTTTGTAGAGCGCTTCAGCAAACCTCCGTGTGAGGAAGAGCTGCCCTAGCACTCAGCTCATCTCAGTGACTTCCTAAGGCTTGACTCCAGTTGACCTCCTGAGTCTCCTGGCTGCAAGCAGCTTTGTGCTTCTTGCAAAATGATCAAATCTATGGCGGTCCTTCATGGCTTATTGTCTTGCTATAATCTTTGTGGCCAGTTTGGTGTTCATAAGAGAGGTGACTGGATTAGGTTGCAGATGTTAAGCTTGTGTGGGATAAAAAGTTGTAATTCAGTCCACAAACTAAATGACTTTCCAGCTTGTGTGTCAGCTGCTCCAGCTGCCATAGGAGAGTAACTCTGAATTGCAGAAGCTAAAAAAGCCTTCCTTTTTCACTCACTACAGCTGTTGTATGTTAATCCTTTGATGAGCAAAACCTTTGCCCATATGTAGGGGAAAGAATTTTTTTGTTTTATTTTAATCTAACTTCTTTAGTTCTGAAGATATTACAGTATTAGCTAATACTGTACTCCCAAGTGCACTGGCGTGCATCATTCATTTTTATTCTGTGGGGAGAGATCTGAGTAAGAGTAACTCTGATAGAACACAGGTACACAGAACAAAGAATCAAGAGCTTGAAACTGTTTTCTCACTTTGGTGGCAGGGAAGATCCACCTACCTAGCAATGACTTTTACCCAAAAGAATCTACCTCAGGGTCTCCATTAGAGCTTTGGGACAACTATCAGCCCCCTGAGGAAGGTGTCTTGTCTTTCCACCAAGAGGAAGAGGGGTTTGGCAAAGTTTTACTTCAGAGGATGGGAAGAAAATTCACCCTTGTGTCTTATGCACGCCATATTCTTTCCTCTTAAGTTCCCTCATTTAATTCTAACAGCATTCCTGTGAGATGTCTCTATGTCCTCATTTTACAGATAAGGAAGCTTGAGGCTCAGAGGGGTCAAGTAACTAGCCTAAGGGCACGTAGCCAGTAAGTGGCAGAGCGGATGCTCAACAAGATCCGCTTTTTCCGTGGAAGTGAACGGCTGCCTTTGATTCTGGTTTTGCAGGTGGATCTATTTTATGATAAGGAGTTGTAGACACCGCTGTTTGGTGTTGAGAAATGTAACATGCTGATGTACTTAATAGGCTTCATTGGGTACATCACAAAGTCAGCATTTGTTTAAATGGGCCAATTGTTGCTCCCTACTCTTCGACCTTGCTATATTAAAGAAGGTTGTATGGTATTTCTTTGGAGTGGGGCTGAGAGTAGACAGTTTTAAGAGAGGTAAGATGTATTTAGGCAGTTCTGAGGTTTAAAAAAAACGAACAAACATTGTAACCATTCTCTTAAGTGATCTCTATACTAATCTGAGGTGGGTTGAGTGTGTGTAACTCTTATTTTAAATGAGAAACTGAGACAGATTTAGAGATTGGGCAAGGGTCACACAGTAAGTTGGTGGCAGAATGCTTTACTGCAGTTAAATCATATTGTATAAGAATTTCAGATTTTAATTCTTGAGAGGCAGCTCTGAATTTTTTATTGTTATAGGCTACCTAGTTGATTAGATGAAATAACAGAGTTAAAGGGGAACTTACTTAAATGTTTCTGTTGTATTGTAGCACCCAGAGGCCTCTATTCAGGCTGTTTTTTCAGATGCCCAAATGCATATTTGGGCATTAGAAGGTAAGCATTCGCAGTGAACTACAACTCTGATTTTAATTATCGGTTAAATACTGAAGTATCTCCAAAAAAAAAAAAAAAGTAGTGAAGTATATCCATGAAAGGTCAGTTCTGGACCTTGACCTCAATCTTTGAATTTTTAGATACATCTTTATATCTTTGTTTTATATAGAGCATTTTTCTTAGATATTTAAGTGTACTTTAATTTGGGCAGAAATTATCCTTGCATTTAAGCAGAGAAACTGAGCCTGGGATTCTTGCCTGTCTTTTCTACTTCAAAAAACTGCAGTTAATAGATTGCTTTCAATTGTCAACTTATATTGACATAACATTTTTAACATTTTAATGTATTTAACTTAGCTTGAATATGAATACTTAGTTGTTAAATAACTGTTTTTTTTTCATCTCCTAGATCCTGCCTTCTCAGTGCTTAAAATGATACTTTCTCAGAGAGCCCTTTCCTGACCCCCTATGAAAAGTATCCTCACAGCTGTCACTCTGTTCCCTTATTCTGCTTTGTTTTTTTTCTACCACTCATCACTACCAAACACAATATTATTTAAAAATTTTTTTCCTGCTAGAATGCAGACTGTCATCTTATTCATGATCCCATGTAGTTGAGGACCTTTTCAGTGCCTGTTCCAATCTTTTGCCCATTTTTCTATTGTACTACTGCCCTCCTCTGTTTTTAGGTCTTTATATATTCAGGATATTAATCCTTTCTCAGCAGATGTATTGCAAATAGATTTACCTAATTTGGATTTCCTTTTAATTTGTTTTTTTCTTTTCCTCTTGAGGTCTGTCTCACTTAGTAGCAGCATCATTTACTGAAGATAGATTTGGAGTTGTCCAGACTACACTACCAGCTATTCTTAATACCTTGTTGACGCTGCAAGAGGTAGGCAGTGTTTGGATTTGGTAGAGGTCGTGTCTTTCCCTCCCTCCCAGGTTTTTCGGTTTATTTCTTACAGATCACATTTATTGAGTGACAAAGCATATGTTAGAAGTTAAATATGGTACTGTTCTCAACCTTGGGAAATTACAGTCTAAGAGAGACCAGGAAGAGAAACTGGTGATTCCTTTGTAAATAATAATTTTATAGAAAAAAGTTACTAAACCTCTGGTATTAATCAGGTTATTTAGGATATTAGGATTCTGTTTAGTGATGTAAATTTGGATCCTTACACAACTTGTAGCTACTAAAAGTGACCTGTAATTAAGTTATCCATGCAGTTAAATGTTACCTATTGGCCAGAGGCTCAAGAAGATAGAGCTGAGCCTGGTGGATGCCTGCTCCCAGATTGGGTGCACAGTTTTAAAGTAGCAGGTCTTTTCAGTCCTAGATGTAAAGACAGAAAAATAAAACCTGTTTCTTGCCTTTGAATAGGCTGCCTTTCCTGACTTCATGTTGGGTGCCATGTCACTGTAGCCGTAAGTCAGATGAGAGATAGGAACGCTGGGTGCCAGAAGCATCTTGAGGTGGGAGCTGGGCTGCGCAGTAGGTTTTCCAGAGGAATGGTGTTGAAGTAGGTTTAAAGGACGACAGTTGGTGCATCCTTGAGTCTTGGGAAGCAGTGTAAGACTGAAAAGAAAACATGTTTCACCGTTCCTTTCTTCAACTCTCAATTTATTTTACCTCTTAGAAAGTCTTAACCATCAAAGCCAGTGATTTTTGTTTTTCCCCCTTTGAATTCTTTCTGTGCCCACTTTCTCATGTATGTTTTTTAAGACTTGTGTGTACACGTGAATAGTTTTATTATTTGTACTCTTATCCCAGCTACCTTTTTCTAAAGAAAGAATTTCCTAGTATTTTGCACAACATCTAACAGTCGCCTTGCCTGAGCACACAGTAGGGTTCTCAGGACTTGGGCATATCTTCAACACTCATAGCATAGTTTGTTTTTCATCACGCTAGCAGTGTAGTTTACAATGAAGTAATAACAGGACAGTACTTTGTACTCTGGAGCGATTTCTTCTCATATTTTGTTTTGTTTTTTTCAATTAGGAAGACTTATTTTTAAATTCTCTAAATACCAAACTTCTGTTTTTTTTTATTTTATTGAACTTTTTAAATTCAAGTATAATTAGCATACAGTGTTATTATAAGTTTAAGATTTACCATATAATGGTCCAAGAGTTCTGTACATTGCTCAGTGCTCATACAATATGTGTGCTCTTAATTCCCTTCATCTATTTCATCCATCCCCCACCAACCTCCCTCTGGCAACCACCAGTTTGTTCTCCATAGTTAAGAGTCTGTTGTTCTTTTGTTTGTTTGTCTCTTTTTCTTTGTTTTCTTTCTTTTTTTTTTTTTTAAGATTTTATTTGAGAAAGAGAGAGAGCAGGGGGGAGGGGCAGAGGGAGAGGGAGAAACAGACTCCCTATGGAGTGGGGAGCCTGACGCAGGGCTTGATCCCAGGACCTGAGCTGAAGGGAGATGCTTAACCAACTGAGCCACCCAGGCACCCCTTGTTTGTTTTGTTTCTTAACTCTAACCTCACTCCTGTCAGAATGGCTAAAATCAAAAACACAAGAAGTAACAAGTGTTAGCGAGAATGTGGAGAAAAAGGAACCCTCGTGCACTGTTGATGGGAATGCAAACTGGTGCAGCCACTGTGGAAAACCGTATGGAGGTTCCTCAAAACATTAAAAATAGAATTACTGTATGATCCAGTAATTCCACTACTGGGTGTTCACTCAAAGAAAATGAAAACACTAATTTGAAAAGATATATGCACCCCTGTGTTTATTGTAGCATTATTTACAACAGCCAAGATATGGAAGCAACCCAAGTGTCCGTCCATAGATGAACAGATAAAGAAGATATGGGGACACTCACACACACACACACACACACACACACACACACTGGAATATCACTCAGCCATAAAAAAGAATGAGATCTTGTTATTTACACCAACATGGCTAGATCTAGAGAGTATTATGCTAAGTGAAATGTCAGTCAGAGAAAGATAAATGCCCTGTGATATCATTCATACCTTTTTTTTTGGGTCATCGTAGCTGTCTTGTGAAGGAAGTAGGACAGGGCTAATTAGGTCTGTTTTACAGATGAGGGAGGCTTGGGAGTGTGGTGACTCACCTCAGGTCTCACACACAAGTCTCATAGGTGGCAGAGCTGGCACTTGAGCCTGAGCTCTTTGCAGGGTATTAGCAGTATAGAACTGTGGATTTGAAGGCTCAGAGACCCTTGACCAATATTCTTTTATAAGTCACAGTTCATTCTCTGTTCCTCTAGACTCCTGTGCTGCTCTACCCAACGTTTGTGTAGTACTCCAAAAGAAATGATTTTTCTTTAAATTTTTAACAACTCCATAAGGTTAGAATAAGGCCTATTGTATAGGATTGTGTCTCTCTCAAAAAGTCTGTATCTATTGGTATGACTTACTCAGGATCATGCTCAGTAAATGGTCGAGGCAGATTTAAAAACGAGGCTTTCAGACCCCAAGCCTCTGTGAGGGCTTGGAGGGGTATGCATTTCTTAACCTCCTTTCGTAAGATAGAATGGCAGTATGTCAGAAGGACCAAAGTCTGAGAGCTAGAGTCAGTTCTACCTGTGTCTAAATCCTAGCTCCTACTACTTCCTAGCTGTGCAACCTTGGAAATACATTTATCATATTTCATTGAATCTAGGATATCATTAATTAGAAGATACATCTCCAATTCAGAAATTATAAAATGGGGGGGAAGTGTTTTATGTAACCAATAAATATAGTAATTTCTAAACATCAGCATCTGTATCTGGAAAATGGAGGGAGTGGTAACAGTACTTACCTCATAGGGATGTGAATTCTGAATGAGATCATCTCTGTAAAGCACTCAAGGTACCTGTCCCATATTATGTGCCCAGCAGATGTAAGCTTTTATTACTTTGTTACTATTACCATGTTGTATGACAGTGTTCTTATAGTGTACAGGAGAAAATGTCTTTCAAGACTTAAAAAAAGTATTGCTATCAATACTGTAAGCAAACTTGAGCACTAGGTGTTGTATGTAAGCGATGAACCACTGAATTCTACTCCAGAAACCAATATTACACTGTATGTCAACTAACAAATTTAAATTTAAATAAAAAAATACTGTAAGCAAGTATCCCAAGAGACACAGTGTCAGGCAGATGCCCAGTTCAGGTCCAGCCTCCAGTACTTTCTTAGAGACCAAGGGTAATTTATTAAATGTCTTTCAGATCAGTGTCTTCATCTTTAAAATATAGTACCTTGCAGGGTTATTATGAGGGTTAGAGAAAATCTGTAAAAAGCCTAGAGTGGTGTCAACTGCCTGGCAATTATCAGACAGTTACCACGTGCTAAGATACAGAATAAAAAAAGATCTGGTTCCTGCCCTTTAGGAGCTTACAGAATATAAAGCAGATAATTGACGAATACAAATAGTTAACTACAATTGTAATAAGTACCCCAATGTACAGAAATGCAGGTCAGGTATGCAATAAATAGCAGGTACTATTATTATAAAAACATCTCATTAAATGAAATGGTTGTGATGTTAGCCTGGTGGCTTTGTTAGCAAATTATTTTATTATTTAAGTGAGATAACATACATAAAGCAGTTAACTCAGTTTCTGCCACATGTTAACCACAATCAGTAAATTTAGCTATCATCATCATCATCTAATATTTTTATTACTTTGTGGCTGTGGTTCTTGCCGGGGCGATTTTGCTCCCCAGGAGACTTTGGGCAATGCATGGAGACATTGTGATTGGCACAGAGAGAGGGTAGGGCTACTGGCATCTGTTGGGTGGAGACCTCGGATGCTGCTAAATGGCCTGTAATGTGCAGGGCAGCCGCCACAACAGAGAATCACCCAGTCCAAAATGTCAGTGGTACTGAGATTGAGAAACTCTGCTCTGTAGTCATGATTTCCATTAAGAAATTCCCTAACAAAGCTGTTATCCTTACCATTTGTTTGGGATTCTGGCTTTAGTGGAATAAACCTTTATTTAACTAGGTTATAAGTAGGATCCTTGAGACCAGGGACTTTGAAGTCTCTGCACAGTGGACATTTGTTAATGCACTGATAGATAAATACTCAGAGGAGAGCAACTGGGCTTTTCTCTTCATTTGGCTTTGGTGCATATACTCCTGCACATAAATCCAAATAGGCCTGAAGTGCCTATTTCCATAGCATAGCTCTTCTTTAGGCTTCTATAAGGGATTTTTAACTTCTCCTGAAGAGTATATTGTTCAATGGTATACTGTACTCACCACTTACCCATTTCATTGTTTGGGATAATTCTTAACTAGATATTTGAGATCCCAGTCGTATAATCTGAGTCTTCAGGCCAGGAACCATGTGTAGTGCATAAAATGAGTGCTCAAAGATACTTGTTTAATCTCACAGCTAATTAAGTACTTCAGTTCTGACCATGGGGCACATCATTAAATATTATAAACTGGTCTTCCATAGATTTAAGCTATTCATGTACGACTTTCATAGTTTTTGCTGTAACTGTTTATTACCATATATTATTGTCATAATATTAGTCATATGCCACCTGAACTATGATTTTCTTAGTATTTTAAGTCATTCATTTTTAACTTAAATTTATGTAAAAGGAAATTTTATATCACTTTTGTAAAAGGAAAACTAGCTTGAGTTGCTACAAATAAAATATAGGTGTACAGTTCCTTATCTCAAACCCTAGGATATATCTCAAAATTAAGATCTTTTTAGATTTTAAGAATATAACATTGTATATGTATCATATATTACATAATACTCCTATTGGAATCTGAGGTAGAATCCCCTTTATCAGATACGTTAATACTTTTCTCCAGTGAAATATCTTGAGTATTCATATTTAGTGAAGTAAAGACTGAATAGCCTGTGTCAGCTCAGGTCAGGCTTTACTGCCAGATGAAGTCCGGTCAGCTTTTGCCACCAACAGTTACAAAAGTTTTTGTTTTCAGGACTTTTCTGGATTTTAGTATTAAGGATAAGACAATTAAAATGAGAAAAGACAATAATTAAAAGCTCTAGCTAGTAGATACTGTTGTTTGCTGAAGTCCCTGAACCTGAAACCTGTTTATCCTTTGTCATAAAAGGAGATTAGTGAGGATGAAAGATGTGTTGTGGACATATTAGCTCCAAACTCAAGACTTTTCCTCCCTCATTTAACTCTACATCCCTAGGGTCTGTTGTTCCTTACTTTTTGCATTTCTTTTTTGAGCTGTTCCCACTATTTGTAGGAGCTGATATTTTATGACTTATTCTTAGAGGTCTTTTGAAGAACTAAGAAGAAACAGTTCAGTAAAATTCATTCTTATGCATTTACCCTTAGGACCCTTTTAAAATCTAAGATGTATTTTGGAATCTTAATGATTTTCCATTTCCAGTATCTTGGAACAGTTTGCTCTTTGATCATCCCAGGCATTATTTCATCATTACTCATCATTTATTTCCAATTGTGGTAAAAAGACCAATGAGAAAACAGGAGAATGATGGAATCACGTAGTATCACGTCATCTTTCAAGAAAAGGCCTATAAGCAATTTGGACACACATTTTTATAGTCTTTTTAAAAATTTTTTATTATGTTAATAACTTTTTTTTAAGCTTTCATTGAATACGGTTGCTAATTCAGAATTCTAAAATTTTTTATTCACACTGGTAATGGGAAGAAAATTGTCAGTATGTTCAATAATTATTTAGATAAATCAGAACATGAATGCTATCTATTTGCATTCATGTTCTGACAGCTAGACAGCTCTGTCAAATCAAAATATAATGCAATGTACTTATGTAACCTTACATTTTCTAGGAGTTACTGTATTACTTACTAAGTACTGTGATACTTACCTGTATTAAAAAAATACAGGTGAGGTTAATTTTAATGATATATTTTATTTTATTTTTATTTATTTATTTTTGATATATTTTATTTAACTCAGTAAATCTACAATATTATAATTTTATCATGTAATCAATACAACAATTACTAATGAGATATTCTACGTATTTTTTAACACTAAATCTTCAAGATCTGATATGTATTTTTTACTTACAGCATATCTCAGTTGAGAGCTGCCACATTTCAAGTGCTTAGTAGCTACATGTATCTCAGTGGTTACCGTATTGGATAACACTGCTCTAGATTTTAATGGTGATCATATACGAGGAATTTCAGACTGTGAATCTTCAGATGATAATATTCTAGGTATATTTTCTCAAACTCAAGAATAAATGACAGAACAATGTATTTCTAAGGAGAAAAAGGAAATATATGTGATATTCTCATCCAGTAAGTCATTCAGGAGGAAAGACTTGTCTCACAATATTTTATAATAACCTGTGAATCATCCCATTTGGTCAAAAGTACATGTGACAGTATTCTTTCATTTTCTATGATATTTTGCACCAAAATTTACTTTATATGGTTCATAAGTGGGTAAGTGCTGAAGGTATACAAAGGTGTATACAAAGGTAATCGGAAGGAAGTAGATGATGTTGAAATGAAAAAACTCACTGGATTGGTCATTTGAATTTTTCTTTATAAACCTAAGAATGAAAATGTTTTCCAGTTACAGTGCAAGGAAAATGGCTAGTCTCTCTTCAACAAAATTATGAGCTGTCAAAAATTTTTAAAAATACTGCATTTTGATGGTATCATTCTTCTGTAGATTTTTTTTTTTTAAGATTTTATTTATTTATTTGACAGAGACACAGCGAGAGAGGGAACACAAGCAGTGGGAGTGGGAGAGGGTTCAGAAGCAGGCTTCCCGAGCAGGGAGCCTGACGCGGGGCTCGATCCCAGGACCTGGAATCATGACCAGAGCTGAAGGCAGACGCTTAATGACTGAGCCACCCAGGCGCCCCTGTAGATTTTTTATAAGATGACTTTAAATTATAAAAAGGGTCTATTGGACCCAGGTGGTAAATGATGATGACTATTTTTCCTTGTCTGATGAGGGTTGGTTAGAAAGTTTGCAAGAAAATTGAAAAGGAAGTAACTTTATCCCTTATGATTCAGTGTTATCTAATGTTGCTTAAGTTTGTCACTGAATACCACCTCCCATACTGCCTAAAATTATCTCAAATATGTCCCAGTCTTAGGAAACACTCTTATAAGTTACTGTTGAAAGAATAAACGATTGGACTTGAACTTGTCATGGCAAACTGAACACACGCATTAAATCTTGTTCCTTCCCCCAAACTCTGCTAAACTATAGTAAAAAGACTTTTAAAAAGACATAAATCCATAAACAGGAGAGGAGACAACAGCGACAGAGTCTTCAGAGCTGGAGAGCAGATGGTTGAAATAACTAACTTAGCAGATCCTAGAGGCAAATCTGAAGTCAGTAGTGGGACAGGCACCAAGTACCTCTGGAACCAAGGGCAAAGGGACAGGTACCAAAATAAGGATGGGTGAGAGCTGTTTGAAAATCAGTTAGATCCCTAGATTCTCTGCTGCTGGTGCTCCTCCCTCCGTTAGGGAGGTTTATCCTTTAGAGAGGGGAGAACACCGGGGTCTCTGGGCTGGCAGAGTTGTGAGTAGATCAGACACAGTTGTGGGCTCTGTTTGAAAAGCATGGGGGTGTACTCGCCTGAGCACAGGCCCTCCCGACAGAGTACTGGAAAACTCTTCTCTGGGACCTCTGACTAATCCAAGAAGAAAAAATTTACTGAGTTGGGCACCCACCCCCCAAAAAAAACCCATGCGGATCACCTATTGTGAAGCCTGTTGTCAGTAATCTCTGTGTACTCAGCTTTGGGTCAGCTTTTTTAGGAGGTCCCACCCTCAGTCATGAGCCAGGGATCACTAGATTTCTGAGCAAAGTCTCTAATGCAGAAGATAGAGACCAAAGAAGCAAAGGAAGGGAAAGAAGAAACCGTAAAAACAAAAAACCAAAACAACAAAAATCATTAAAATCCTCAGAAATAGGAGAAGATATTACATCCTTGAAACAAAAATAGGATGCTAAAATAAAAAAGATCACTCATAATATAAAAGAGTTCTTGAAATTAAAAACTTGATGGCAGAAATCATTTTAACTGTTTTTAGTTCTTTTGGTGGTTACATCCATAAGTATAAAGAATAGGCTTATACTATTATTTCTTGTCATTGTAGACATGATCTTGCTCTAGTACATTAATCCACTTATACTTTCATATCTTCAGTTTTCCCTTTAATGTAGTTATATCACTTAAAAATTATATCATTTACCTTGGATCTTTAAAAGATATACTTAAATCTCTTTATCAAGTATAAATAAAGTGAGTTCTCCCCACCTATTCTTGCTCACAGATGCTTTATCATCTAGAAAAGAAAAGGAAGATAAGCTAGTTTAGTAAATAACTTTATTTACGTAAAGTGTAGTTTTGGTCTTGTCTTTCTTTTTGCTGAGATTTATAATAAAAGTATACTCTTAGCTGTCACACACCTTAAGCAGAGTAGGATATCTGTGTTTCGCTTCCCAACTTTGCATTTTCAAGGCCATTGGAGTGTAGCTCCTTTTTAGAGGACGGGTCTGGACTTTTCCCTGCTAACTGCTTTCGGGGCTGAGCCTCCACGGCGTTGTTTCTCAAACGGTTTTTGTTTTATTTTTCCCCAGCAAACTGTTCTGACTGTGATCCAAAATAAATGTTTTCTAGTATGTCTGTATGATGTGTGTATCTCTATTTGAAATAAAATCTCCTTAATCCTTTGGACTAATGTGGCTTTCTTCATATTCTGAACTATTTTCTTTCTTTCTTGATCTAGGCAGTCGACAAGTACTTCAAGCTTCCTCATGCTTCCAGTAAACCACCTCGGATTTCAGGAAGCCTTGTGGACACTTCTTATAAAACATTAAGATTTGCATTTAGAGCATCACTAAAAACTGCCATCTATCGAATAACTACTACATTTGGTGAACATTTGAAGTAAGTTTACCTGTTTTAATCCATGATAAGAATCCACTTTCAGGAGTTCTGTTGAGAAATAGGTATGAGAATTACAAAGGCTCACATGTTGAACATGTTCTTTTGGGGCTTTCACGATTCCTACTGGGAATTAACAGCTTGGATTTAGACTTAATATTTATATTTTAAAATTGGACCTATCATATAAGCTTTGGGGCCTTCTTTCATATAGACAACAAAGAAGATAGAAAGTTATAAAAGCAGTAAATGTAATTTCATATAGATATATATGAATTATATATGTAATTTTTTTTAATTACCAAAACATCCTTATGAGAGAAAAAAGGCAAAAAATGGAGTACCTTTTCAGAAAACCATATTAAAAATAATTCTGATACTACATCTTGGTCAGCTAACTGAGACATGGGGTGAGCAGAGTGTTCCATAAACGAGTCCTTGGTACTTTGTGAATCATGCTGGAAAAACAGTGACAGATCATAACACCTTTGGAAACGGAACCAGAGAGAAAACCACAAATGCCAAACCTGTTTATATTTAGTTTCATTGATGTTTATTGCTTGCTTCTCATGAAACATCTAGTTAGGCAGGATAAGGGATACAAGTTTATTAACTATGTTTATCACAATTATAAATGAACTTTAGAGTACATAAGAGATTGCTTTTTCTGTATGCAGAACTATCAATAAATAGTTCAGAACTTCCTCATACTGCCTGCTTTTAGAAACAGCAATATATTTCCTTTTACTTCCATAATGCCCAACAGAAATAGGTTTTTATGGAACCCTTGGTTCTGTTTGGGAATGTAAAGAGCTGTAAGAGGTTTATTCACTTGTTTATTTTATTTTATTTTATTTTATTTTATTTTTTATTTATTTATTTGAGAGAGAGAGAATGAGAGATAGCACGAGAGGGAAGAGGGTCAGAGGGAGAAGCAGACTCCCTGCCAAGCAGGGAGCCCGATGTGGGACTCGATCCCGGGACTCCAGGACCATGACCCAAGCCGAAGGCAGTCGCTTAACCGACTGAGCCACCCAGGCGCCCTATTCACTTGTTTAAAAACAAAATTTTATCTAGAGCCTTCTAGATCTGTGCTCTCCAATACGATAGCTGCATATGGTGGTTTAAATTTAAATTAACTAAAAATTCAGTTTGTCAGTCACACTGGCCACATTTTAAGCCCTCAGTAACAACATATGGCTAGTGGCTGCCATATTAGCTTAGATCTAAAACATTTTTGTCATTGCAGAAAGTTTATTGGGACAGCACTGTTCTAGACAATACACTTAGCACTTTATACATGTTTTTTTCATTTCCTTTTCTCAAAGAGTCTGTGAAGTGTAGAAGTTATCATAACTCCACTGATACGGAAACTGAGGCTCAAGGAGGTTAAGAACTTGCCTAATAGCACAGTCTAGTTGGTATTGGAACATGAACCTGAAATCAGGTCTTCCTACTCTTAAAATGCCACCTTTTCTCCCTGTACACTGGACTGCCCCTAAGATGTAAGGTGCCATGGAGGATGCTCGATGGATGTGGAGCGTGAAATAGTTGTATTGATGATAGAGCAAAAACAGGGAGAAAGGGGGACACAGGGAGTTTTAGATCAGAAAGGGGGATAGATGACTGATTGAAAAAAAAAATTAGGAGAGGGGCGCCTGGGTGGCTCAGTTGGTTAAGCGACTGCCTTCGGCTCAGGTCATGATCCTGGAGTCCCGGGATCGAGTCCCGCATCGGGCTCCCTGCTCAGCAGGGAGTCTGCTTCTCCCTCTGACCCTCTTCCCTCTCGTGCTCTCTATCTCTCATTCTCTCTCTCTCAAATAAATAAATAAAATCTTTAAAAAAAAAAAAAAAAAATTAGGAGAATGAAATTCTGCCTTCGTTTCTTTTCTCTGGGAAGAGCCGTGTTTTAAACATGATGAGGTCAGCAGAGACTATTTTGTATGTCTAGGACAGAATGGTGTGGTGGGAAAAAAGATGTGGAGTTAAAACATTTGGATTCATGTGTAGTGACGTCATTAACTGTCTGTGGTTGCGGTCAAGTTCCCTAATGATTTAACTTGCCCATGATTATGCAGAACCAGAAGTCAGACTCAAATCTTTCTGACCCAGAGTCTCTCCGCCGGTGTCCGTACTCTTAACTGGTAGGCTGTGTTGTCTCCCCTAACCTCGGACCTCTTCACAAATGTCTTTTGACCTCTGTTACCCTCCTGTGGAAAAGGTGTGTCATTCGGCCTCACTGGCACCCAGAGGGAGTACACACAGTAAAGTACTTGAAGTGGTTCAACTGGAGGCAGCTGCAAGGTTTAAGCTAGCAGAGATGTAAGGCAATTTGGGGTGGTTCGTAGTGAAATTATTATAATGAGACTTTTTTGGGCACTTTTAAAACTGGTAACTTTCTGTAACCTGGAATTTTATCATTTAATAATAACATCTTCAGCAGCCAGAAAACCAGAATCTTTCATTGTATTCAGTTTTTGCCCAAAAGTTTAAAAGGAAGTTTTCTACTAGTTTCGGTATATATTTACCCTAATTTTGTCAAGGTAATGTATTTTAGTGGGGGCGAGCGTGGGGAGAGAACTCCGTTTCCCCATCCACGACATGACTTATGTTCAAAGGGAAAACTAAATCTAAACCACCAAGCTGTTACCTTTGAAAACGATTAGTGGAGTCTATTGTGTTTTAACCAAACATTTTAGTTTAAAGGATTTTATATTAAAGGCAATTCAAATACTCCACAGCTCAAAGATAATGTTGGAATCTGGTTTAAATAAAATAATAAAATCCAGAAAATCTACTGCCAGGCCTGGAACTCTGCACAGCAGGTTCCATAGCAGAGCAGGTTAAAATCGATGCTTTCACTTGTCAGTCTTAATTTGCTTTGGTCTTTTAGAAGGTAGAAGCATGCTGTTACTGAATGCAAGCCCTCCTCCTCATTAGATTAAGGAGGGTTTTCATCCAGCTTTCTCAGAAGTACTAAATAAGTGAAGATTTCTATTTGTTTTTAATTGTTTTGAAAAATATTGACTCTGTGCTCTGTGGTTCACTTAATATGCTTAATGTAAAATAAAGCTTATGCTTTGAATTTATGTTTCATTTAGTGCTGTGCAAGCATCTGCAGAACATCAGAAAAGACTTCAACAGTTCTTGGAGTTCAAAGAATAGCTCAGTAATATAAACTGTGTTCATTACACTGCTGATACAGCTACAGATGGGACAGTAAATGTTCAGCATTCTTGGATCAGAAGAAAATGGACTAATTAGATGCTTCCTTTGTCGTGGTGGTTGCTTTGAAAACTATACTTTAATGGGAGAAATCATGGAAAGAAATTCTCAACAGAATAACTGAAAACTGCCTTTTCTGTACCTATTGCTTTTTGTGTGTGTGGTATAATAAAATCTTTATTCAGTTTTACAGAAGCCTCTATGGCGGTAAAAATGTCTCTAGCTTCTATAGCTTAATAATAATAGCTGGAAAATTTTTAGAATTTACTTTTGAGCTGAGTAGAGCCAGTTCAGAAGGTAAAATAGGTTGACTTGATTCAGTCTTCCTAATTGTGCTGAGAGTTTTAACTCTCTGTACACTCGAAATCCATAAGCCTTTTAAGAGTAGTTTCTTTTTACTGAAGGATAAAAGTGGTAACAGTGCAGAAAAATTCACAGAAAAATTACTGTTTCAAGGACATATTTTGTTAATCTGGTAGGTTGTGTTTTTCTTTCCAGGGACAAATTAAATTTGCATGATTGTCCAAAAAAGATCTCAATTTACAGATGCTAACTCTGTGTAAAGGAATGTGGAAAAATTCAGTTCTTAAGTTACAAGATTAAACATTCACATTTGGTTTTCGAAAGACGATTGACAACTATGAATTTGTTTTGTATCATGCTGGTAAACAATAAGTATATGGGTATTTTCCCAACTAGTTTTGCTTTCTTTTTCTGGAACAAGATATTAAGTGATTGCAGAGGTTTTCAAGTGAGAGAAGTTTTGCAACAAAAACCAGGAAACTTTCCCTTTTTGCTCTCCATTCCCTCCACCCCCACCCTTCATCTTCATTAGATCAGATTATGTGGTGAAGCCTATTTGGCTTCACAGAGGGAGCAGCCTTTGCCGTGTTAACTGGCTAATAAAAATATATTAGGAAAATCTTTACAACCAGAAACAACTTAGTCATCAAATAGCAAGTGAAACCAAAATGTCGGAGGGCTTACGGTACTTGGGAGTATGTCGTATGTCCCAAAAGTGAGCGAGGTAATTTTATAATTTATTAGATCAGCTTCTTTGCAGATGAAAGATGGGAAGTCCCACTGGTAGGTATTCACTGTTGGCATAGGGCTGAAATGCTTCCTTGTAATTCTTTTCCTGTTGTTCCCTCTACTTTCCCCCAATTTCTTCTTTAAAGTCAGTACAGTATTGTATATGAATCTTTAATGTGGTATGTATGTCTGCCATTTGTCTGATTACTTGATGCATTATATCTTTATTCCTTTTGTTTAGTTGCCCCTTCAACCAGCACATGCCAAATTATAAATGAATCCTGCTGGCCTTCAGAGTGTCTTTAGGAGACAATTCCCCAGTTGTCGAGTGTTTGGAGTATTTAGGCTAATTGCTACTTCTTTCTTCCTTTCTTCCTTTCCTCCTTTCCTCCTCTCTCTCTCTCTCTTTCTTTCTTTCTCTTCTCATCTGAAGTGGGGTGCTCTCTTTTTTGAATATGAACATTGAATTTTGAATGTGGTTGTTCCTTGCAGATGACCAGAAGATTGTGGCTAGGTTGACTGAAAGCTGTTGGGTTCCGTGTTTTAGAGCTATTGAGCTTTTTCTGTTCCACTCCGTGCTGCCCCTGGCTGAGGCATTTTGGGTGAAAAGGACTCTTAACCTTCTGCTTCCATTGAAGAATAATTGTGGTATGTGACCCATTGGATTCCTGAGAGTGAGGATGGGATGATCCCTTTAATATCTGACTAGGTTTAGGGTTTTGCCGTTTCCCATATACTTTGGGAAAAGGTATATTTGATGAGCAATGTGAACATTTCTGAGGTGTTCATCCCTATTTTCTATCAAGGGAATGTGCTGTGTACAAAATACAGGTCACATAATGTCCACATGGTGGAGATTTGGAAACTGCCTCCCCAAATCTGGACTGTATTTAGTAGATAAGAGAGTCAGTTCCTTTTCCCCATTGTGTGGATAATCTACACACCATCTGTTTGGGTCGGGTGTTGCTCAGTCACCTGTTATTAAAGAGAGCTCCTTCTCCTGTGTACAAGGAAGAGGATCTTAGGAAGGCCAAGAGGAGGGAAGCATTTCCTTTAATGAGGTCACATCCTGCCTGTGAGCCCACTGATGCTATGACATTGACCTGAAAGTTAGAGCATGTTCTTTAAAAGCTTTTCTTTGTCAGTACAAAACATGGTTCTGTCAGCTCTTGTAGTGTTTGCTTGACCTTATGGAAGGTATAAATTCACATAGCATCTTTCCTGGGGAACTGGGAAATTGTCCTACAATAAACCATGTACAGTTGAGTGGCTGTGGATAAGCAACAGTTTGTCACTTTGCTGGATTTGTTCCTTGGTAATTGTTTTGTATATCTTCCTGTAAATATGGTAATCTGTTTATATCCTTTTGTATATCACTGACACTGAATTGGGTAGAAAAATAAATTGACAGTTTTTCTGAACGGGACTACTAAAATACGTGTATCCTCGAGGTCAATTATTTAATTTCTGGTGTGTGTGTGTTTCTTGAGCCATTTGGTTTCAGTTGCTTATAAAACTTGAAGAGGTTTAACTTTTTGAGAAATGAGGCGCCCTTGCCCCTAACTGGACTGATTTGGTGGCTGATCTGTGTTCAATGAGAACTAAGGAGACTGAATTCTGAAGGTCTCTTTCTTCCAAATCTAAACCAAGGATGCGGGTGCTGAAAGGCATCTCTTTTCTGGCGGGAATAGTGTTTCTGAGTGGATCATATTCCCCAAGGCTAACAGTTATGTCTGTCAGCTTTACTTAAATTAGTCTGAACTTCACCTCAAGGTAGTTAAGGTGCTACACGAAGGCCCTCAACTCCCTCTTTTGCTCTCCCAACCCATAGTCCTCTTTCTCTAAAACCAAATAGCTTAAAACAAAGATAACTCCAATTCCACAGTTAACAGTCCATCTATTCTTAGCAAGCTACTGACCACCATTTTAAAATAATCAAAACTGTTTTTGTGTTAAGGGGAATAAGACAAGGTGGGACAAGCACATACCCCCGGTAGTTCTCAGTCATGGTCCTAAGCAACCTTCACATTGCTGTAGTGATTTGCACGTTGATCCGGAGCTAGCTAATCATTCAGAAACAGTCACCAAGTGGCTGTTACGGCCCAGCTATTAGAAACAAATTGAACTGTGAACAAGACAGTTCTTTACCTTGAGGAGTTTATAATCTAATGCAGTGGCATTTGAAACTTGGACCCAGAAACATGAGATTCACAGGGAGTGCCTATTAGAGGTGTAGAGTCGGGGCTCCACTGCAGGGCAGACTTGCTTCAGGAGGTCTGGACTGGTTCCCAAGAGATGTAGTTTGTAACAAATTCTAAGCAGTGGTCTGAATCACACTGGGAGAAGGGTTTACTTTAGATCAGGAGTTAATCAAACTTAGCATGCATCAGAACCTTTGGAAAGCTTATTAAAACAGATTGCTGGGCCCCACCTCCAGAGTTTCTGATTCAGTAGGTTTGGGGTGGGGCCCAAGAGTTTATATTTCCAGCAAGTGTCAGGTGATGCTGATGCTGCAAGTTAGGAGACCACACTTTGAGAAGCACGGCTCAAGTGGATTTCTCTTATGTGGGGCTCTCAGATGAGTGTCTGAAGCACATGAACTATCATTTGCTAGAAGGTAGACTTCTTCCATCTGATTCACTTACTGGAAAGCTTGAAGAATATGGTTAGACCCCATAGGTAAGATTGGAATGCTGAGAAGTAGGTTTCATATACTTACCTTGAAATTGGAGCAGGTGATAGATCATGAGTTGCCCTGCCATGCCATTATGTGCTTGTGCTCATGTTCCCTTGCCTGAATTTCTGCCTTGGCATGCTTCCCATCCTTCACAATGAGCTTAGCCTTTCCAAATACTCCCAGATAGATTTCCATGTGTTTTTTCAATGCTTTGTCATTCCCTCTTTGGACCTTAACTGATTACAAATCCGTGTCCCCTTGTAGACTATGAACTCCCTCTCCTCCCAGGATTCCAGTCACACTTTCTTAATCTATCATCTATGTCTTATCTTCTCTATTTTAATATTTTTGACTTTCTATGCTTTATTCTGGATAGTTCCTTCTGACCCATTTTTTTTTTTTTTAGATTTATTTATTTTGAGAGAGCACAAGCAGGGGGAGGGGCAGAGGGAGAGGGAGAAGCAGGCTCCCCACGGATCCCAGGACCCTGAAATTATGACCTGAGCCGAAGCAGCTGCTTAACTGAGCCACCCAGGCACCCCCTGACCTATCATTTTCTTCAACTAAGTCTAATCAGCAGTTAAATTTATCTGTGAACTCATGTAGACTATGAGCTCCACTAACAATAGTTTCCCAATAAATGAGTGAAAATTAGCGGTCCTTTCTAGGGTTCCTTGAGTTTTCATCTTTAGCAGATCTTTATAATTCTGAAATCTAGAGGGTTTTTTTTTATTGGTTAAGTTTGGTGACAATTTTTTTTAACTTTTCTTTAAATTTTTTTATTGTTATGTTAATCACCATACATTACATCATTAGTTTTTGATGTAGTGTTCCATGATTCATTGTTTGTGCATAACACCCAGTGCTCCACGCAGAATGTGCCCTCTTTAATACCCATCACCAGGCTAACGCATCCCCCCACCCCCCTCCCCTCTAGAACCCTCAGTTTGTTTTTCAGAGTCCATCGTCTCTCATGGTGGTAACAAAATTTATTTGGCAGCAAAACCTGACCTGAACTGATGTGGGGCTATTTGTAGTATTTCATATAGTATGACTATGCTTATAGTCATAGTATGTTTGACTGTGAGGTGCTGTCCCAGACCCCACGAGAGTGTTATGTAATATGCATCATTATTACCTTTCTAATATCTGAAAAGTTCTTTATTTTGAAACATCTGGCTTCAGGAGTTTAAGACAAGGTGTTGTAGACCCGTTTTTGTAAAATGCTGTTAATTCTTCCATGCACTCACTGCCTACCGTATTACCAGACCCTGAGATAGGCACTGATTGTACAAGGTCATAGACCTTGTCCTCAAAGCATTCGCCACCCCGTGTGGGAGAAGTAAATGGAGGCAACCCTTGTTGGCAAAGAACCTCACTTACACAGTTGATGTGTCTTGCTATTGCTGTGGTTGATTGAGCATTTATTCTGCTCCTAGCCTATTCCAACCAATAGTTGTTGCTTTCATTTGTGCCCACCTCTTTTATGGACCCTTTCAGCACTAAATGCAGCATCTCAGGTCCTGGCGCTAGCCTGCTTCATTGCTTGCATTATTTTGCAGGAGCTGTGTGGCTCCGCCTTGCCTCCCACTGCTCATAGTCTCCCTGCACACACATATCTTACCAGATACGGTTGAGTGTGCCTTGCAAGAGATCCTGGTGGTAAAGCAGTTCCGGAAAACCTATGGGATGTCCCTGGCAGAGAAGCATTAGAAGGTGGCCTCTCAATCACAGGCCTTTACCTTGAAAGTCTTTTAAAGATATGTTGACTCTTGATTGACTTATCCTATTTGTCTCTCAACTTATTAGTAACAGTAGTCTACAGTCTTGAAAAAATACAATACACTAGGGGTGCTGGGTGGCGCAGTTGGTTAAGCGTCTGACTCTTGGTTTTGGCTTGGGTTGTGATCTCAGCGTCGTGG